GACTTTTTCTAACTCGATTTCGGTTAGATTTGTCCTAATTGTTGCTCTACCCCATGTTGGTTCATTTTGTTTCGGTGCGTTTCCCGTCTATAATACATATATTCTTACCAGGGTGCACATTCACAGATAGATAAATCTAAGATTTACATCTTTTGAATCGAATCCACTCGCAATCAGGAAAAACTAAACTTATTAAGATAATCACGACAAATATGAATTTCAAATGTTTCACACGAGTTGAGCAATTATTTCACGACCTGTCGTCGGAAGTAATTCAAGATATCTGATATTTTCGAAAATTGTTTCAACTTTTCTGATCGAGACAAAGTGTAACCATTCTATAAGTCTACAAGGTCTGTAGTCTTATAATCACAACAGATTTTTAACTGAGCAGCTAGTCGTTCGTCGGCGCCCCCACTAGTTTGTCTCATATATGCGGTGAACATGATCATTTTAAACACTGCACTATTGATAGGAAGCTGCGCCCCATTCTATAATTATTAGATAAAAGCAAAGAAAATTTTCAAAAAAATCCGAAAACAACAGTTATGGCACTAATTTAATCCAGTTTCATCTACATATGTGATAAATTCATCACAGTTTAGAGAAGAATGAGACATGATTCCCGAGTACTTACGCAGTTCGCGTCCGGTCGTAGATGCGCTGATCTAGAATTCTAGGAGTTACGTTTGAATAAATTCTTCGTGCTGTAATAAAAGTTAACATATCAAGAATAAGCTGAAGACTTTCAAAAAAAAGCTTTCAAAGTCTCAGTGCAGGTGAGCGGTTAGTCGTTCGTCGGCGCCCTTCCGGAGTGCCCCTCACGGCTAGCCGCAGTCAAATTGAGAATCAATTTCACCGCACGATGCCTATAGCTTATTCGTAATAAAATGTCACATAACCATACGATACATGTAACACTATAAACATCATCGAGTGGCATCCTCGAAAAATTTCTCTACAAAGAATTCCCATCACGAAAATGAGACGATCTAAACAGCTCCAAATCCAATATAAACTTGTTTGAACTACAAAATTTCACAAAACTAACAACGCCAACGTGTTCACCGACCCCGGTTACCCTTCGGTCAAACATATCCCTGCAGGGTATTGTTTGAGGTTAGCTAAGTTTATGCATCTGATTTCCTATTGGACGAGCGGACGAACGAACGACGAACGAACAAACGAACGAACGCTTTTAACTCGTTTTTCGTAATACCCTCCTTTCAGTAGAGGGAATTTTTTGTTTCGTACAGAAAAAATACATATTTTATTTAATATGATCAATATTAAAATAAACATATACTGATTGTTTTATATTATAGATCTTATTATATTCATTAAAATTATTTTACAATTTCTGGTTATTTTTAGATAGATAAAACGACTCTTCAGTCAATTTATTATAGCCTTATGTAAAGTACATGTTTTATCGAATATTTAGTTAATAATATTTTAATACTTTACAATAGTTTAGATCATCTCTGCTTTGTTTTTAGATACATACGTATAAGCAATTTTATAATATTCGAATTTGTGCTAGAAAAATTTTCAGTTGTTATGTAATCAATTCTGTTGTTATTTATTTCTTTTTTTGTGAATTTTAGATTGTATTTATTATATTCATAATTTAATAATAAAAGCAAAATATTAATTTACAGTCTGCTTAGAAGAAGTCACCAATTTTTGACTTCTATAGTTTCTTACTAACTATCAACTAAATCTTCTGAATTTATATAAAAGACTTACCTTGAAAGAAACTTTTCTTTTCATTATTTCTCAAAGTTAAGAAATAACATATATTTCTCACTTAGGAGTATAAACGTATTAATTTATATACGTGCATAAATTCAACGAGAAAATAACAATTTTTACTTTTAAATTATTTACCATTTTTAATTCAATTATAAATGGTTCGTAAAAAATCAATTTCTTCGAAAGTAAAAACGCGAAAAGAAGCGTATAAACGACAACAACAAGTTCGTTCAAGTAGTATTAGTCGATCATGGAGAACATTAATTGTTACCATCAAAACTTGTAAAAAATTTTTAAGTTTGAGGGATACTGTTAAAAATGATTCGTGTATAGAAAAAACATTTAATATTTCACAAAATGATTCAACTAATTCAAACTCCATTAATTATAGAAATATTAAAGACAAAGCAGTTACGTTATCTAATACAATAGAATTACGAACAGAACTTGATGATCAAAATGTGATCTAGAGTATTATTAAAAAAATTGTATCAAGAGTTTCTCGTCTAGATAACGAACAGAATAGGCAATTAAAAAATAGAAAATAATATTGATAATGAAGTCTCTACCTCAAGAATGAGTAGAGAAAGAAACATGACAAAAAAAACTTCTTCTCGTCAAATTGTTTTACGTAAAAAATGTCTGAATGTTCAAAACATTTTTACAAAAACAAATATAAAAATAATAGTGTATTCCGTGACCAACAAAAGTCTCGAATCAATTCAGATATTTCAAAAAAGTATCATAGTAATTTTAATGTTCGTAATAATATTAAATCACAATCGAAAATTTATTCTTTGCATCAATATCACCAACAAGATTTCCTTCACTAAATGAAGATGCAGAATTGCATAATCTAATCAAGGAAGTACAAACACATTCTCGTAATCATTCAAAATCTTGTTTGAAATATAATAAAACAATGTGTCGTTTTGGATTTCCTCGACCAGTTGCTCGACGTACATTTATATGTGAACCATTAAAAATTGATAATGATGACGATAAACAATGTATTAAAAATATTAAAAGAATTCTAACTGAAATGAATGCAACAATGAATGTATTAGAAAAAGAAAAAATCTTATCATGGTCTGATTTTGATGATCTGCTTAATAAGTATAATTGGTCATATGACGACTATGAATGTGCACTTCGAGTTGTTCATACTCGTACTATCATGGTACAAAAACGAGAACCTAATGCACGTTGGGTAAATCAATATAATGAAGAAATATTGAGAGCCTGGAATGCAAACATGGATATTCAATTTATACTTGATCCATATGCATGTGCGAAATATCTTATGTCATATACAACAAAACCAGAAAGAGAAATGAGTTTATTACTTGAAGAAACTCATAAAGAATGTCGTGAAGGTAATATGTCTGTACGAGACGAAATGAAAAAACTGACAGATACATTTTTTAATCATCGACAAGTTAGCGTGCAAGAGGCTATATATCGTGCTACAAAAATGCCACTAACATATTTAAGTCGAGGTTTTGTTTTTGTACCAGCACATTCAAATAGTTGTAAATTTTTAAAACCACATAATATATTAAAGGAAATGGATCCAGATGATAAAAATATATATATGTCTAGTTTAGCTGACAACTATCTTGATAAGCCAGATGAGCCTGAATTCAATATTTGTATGGCAGATTTTGCATCTGAATATGAAATTATTATCAATAAATAAAAAGCTGAAACAACCAAAAACACCAATTAAACGATTACAAAGATTGAATTTTGTTATTAAGAAACGTTGTAATCGCAGTGCTATTATTCGATGTCCATATTTTAATCGAGAAACAGATAGAGAAAATTACTATGAAAATTGACTTTCTCTCTATTTACCTATAAGAAGTCGAAATGACTTGGAAAAATCTTATGAATTATTTTATCAAATAGGTGAAATCTTCGATAATCGACAACAATTCATTCGAAAAGGGTGTGGGTGTGGATGTGACTGTATTTTTAACTCAACCACACCCATCATCTTGCATGATAAGCTAGGAATATAGTTGATCTTTATCAAACTTTTATTATTTACTTTATAACAATTTCATGGTGGACAAACTATGAGTCATCGGACTTTAACTTTCAAGCTTGTATTCAGAGGTTGAAGACATAACATCTTTAAGTAACTCTCATGTAATTTTTCAAATCGTTTTTCTCGTTCAGGATCTCTTATGAGATGTCACATTCCAGTATTCCCCTACAAAGAGGTACCTGAGATGTTATCGATTAGCAATAATTTCATATTTGGATCGCGCTTGTAAGGATAAAATCTAATTCAAACGGTATTCTTATTTATAGGTTTCAATCCGAATGTTTCAAAACGACAGAATAGACTTCGCATGAACCTTTGGTTTATTAAAAGAATCAAATTAAATGTTAAAAACTCTCTCGAACTAAGCAATATATTACTTATGAAACTGTCAATGAGATTTTTAGTAATTGAATCTAAACAAAAGGTCATCCAACAGTCCACATCCAGCTATACACAATAGCTAATACGTTGGATACACTTATCACTACATAAAGACATGGAAAATAGCATTGCTGCGAATTCTTACGTCAAAACTTGTATTATTTGTTTATTATTTATCAAACATCGCCACCCATTTCAGTAGAGGATTAGCGACGCTTACGCCGTGTTACTTGTGCATCTATGTACTAGAGGGTGTGGGTATTCTTCTTTCATATACATCCACACCCCTAAGAACACTATGAATTATTGCAATTCAATTTTTGTTTTGTAGAGAAGTTGGGTGTGATGGCATCATGGTTTTGACGATATTCATATATGGTACATTAAGAAGTATAGCAACATGTGGTTCAAATTGGATTCTTTCTCGAATGGGCCAGAATCAATAGAATTTCGAAGTATATTTAGTCGACAGGGATTTGTATGGATCATTGTTTGGAACAATACGATTCCCGTAGAGTATGAGTATTACTTCAAATCATTCTCGAAGAAAGCGCAATATCAGACTATGGACTCTACGCATAAAAACTCTGATACTGTTATTGTGAAGCAACCTTTAAAACCAATATCAAAGCGATCATCAAAGTACAATCGTATAGAAGATGGCGAGGAGATTTTCGACACTATTTTCTTCTTCTTCAAAAGCAAAAACTCAAGGGAATCAAATCGTTTTGAAATATTGTCTGCTACAGAACAGTAGTCACAATAATATTTTTACGTTACCATCAACTTGTATTTCATTTAAGGCTATATGCAATGGGCGTAAAACTCGCCATACGTAGTACCAAACAAAGGTACTGCTTTCGGAAATAGATTTTATGAAGGCTATGGCAAATTAAATTTTTTACATATCTGAACCTTGTATAGATAGCATTTCTTTCTAAGTTCCGCTTGCTCTTGCAATAGTCTTCGTACGAACATATTCAATCATGATATGAGTAGTGACTGTATTACAAAGACATTTTCCTATTTTCTTTTTATTCGTCAATCAAACTGTTTTAAGTATGAATTTAAGTTCAACGCTAGAATATCAAACTCAATTCAGTATTTGAATATAGGAATAGGAAAAATTCTGCACCAGAAATATTAAGCATAGAATCATGCTGTCGATAAAAATATCGACTCGAAGACATCAATTAGGTATGTTTTATAGTGCAATTAAAGATGTACGAATATAGTTAACCTTCTCATTTTCAAACGAAATATTATACAAATAATAATGATCTATCCATATACGGTAGAACAGAAAATAAATAGTTAATTTTTCTAATTTTACTAAACTGTTCTTTGTTACTAACTAGAATCTTCTGATATTTATGGTCTGGATCCAACTAAAATAACGTCTAACTTTGATGTATCAATAAGAAAGATAGTTTTTCTGTTTGAATAATCATTTTGATCTGTTGAAACAAAAGAGAAATTGACCCCAAGAAATTTCTCATAAATATCCAGATAGTTCTTGATTAGATAGGCGCTACTGGGCAGCTCTCTGCGTGACGACACCGGTATCGCCCCCCCCCCTGTCCTTCTTCTGTTAATCTTTCACTATTATTCACATGTGTGCTTACCGTTCGTGTTGTCTTCTCTTTCCTCTAGAAGCGCGTGTTATATTTGTAGTGATGATATTTTGGACGTATCAAGTAGTTAAATGAATATCATAACTGGTGGCGGCGATTAGCTACTCATACAGTTTGTTATAACAATAGTACAATACATAAATTTTAGAATTCTAGATGTTTCTGAGATATACACATATATTCGTGTTTGCTTGTTTTTCTATTGTATTCAAACGAAGCGACGCCTATTTATGCCTTTTTGCGCCATCCACACTAACGTAAGAGAAAAGAATGCACCACTTCCTTTGTCAGACGAAGGTAGAAAGACATGTCAATAAATGATAAACTCTTGTCGGATGCATTTCTGAATATGCTACTGTCTACTAACTGAATGAAATAATAGTTACCACTGTTTCAGTATGTATCTAGTATTTTTGCTTTTGGACTCACATGTTACACTAAGAGAAACGAAAAGTATGTGGCAATAAATCTTGTTGCTAACCATTTATAACAGTTTGGATTTCAAATATAACTGCTATATCTGTATTCACTGCCATCCATCAACATATTGCGTTGTAATTACGAAATGCCACCTTTTCACATTCTCTTTCCATTTCTTTCTGAGTAGAGAAAAAAGAATTTCCACCTACTCGAAAAGCAATAGCAAACGAGAGAGAACACAAATACTACAGCCGGACAGAAAAGTAAAACGCGCACGACATTAAAAAAGACGTGCGCAGCAAAGACATGCGACGAGCACTATCACCATCCACCATGGTATCAACATTTTCCTCACCAGCCAAACGACCGTAAGTGATAATTCTTAATATGTGACTAATTGAGCATCGAAACTTAATAAATACTTCTAGTAAAATGGTTGTATCTCGCAATACAACAGTAAACATCGACAGGATACATTCTGAACTAGATGTCGTGACAATACCTCGATCTTATCAAGTAAAACATTCTGAGAGAAAAATCTCTCTCTCTCTCTCGTCTAAAGATTATTTGTTTCCATATAGACTGAACTAATGGAGCAAGCTAAACATGAGAATTTGATTATTTGCCTACCTACTGGGAGTGGGAAAACTTACATAGCTGTTATGCTTATCAAAGAAATGGCACATACGATACGTGCAAGTATCCGAGATGGAGGCAAACGAACAATATTTCTTGCCAAAACAGGTTCTGATTTTCATTGAATTTATTGATCATTACTCAATTCTTCTCGTTTAAGTGGCACTTGTTCAACAACAAAGTGATTATATTCGTTTTCACACAGATTTGAGTGTCGGCAAATATTATGGTGAATTGGGAGTTGACCTATGGCAAAAAGAAAGATGGGTCGATGAATTTGAACAACATCAAGTACTCGTGTTCTCCGCTCAGGTGTTTCTCAATCTCGTCGATCACAATTATTTCCGTAAGTCATTCATACGAACTCGAAAGGAGAAAATATAATATTTTGATCGATTTCAGCTTTGTATAAAGTGAATTTATTAATTTTCGATGTGTCAACACTCTACCGGAGAAAGCTGTTATGCAGGATTGATGAACAGACATTATAATGCATGTCACGATCCACCTCGTATACTAGGTTTGACAGCATCGATCAGTGGCAAAAAAATTACACCAGTTGAATTAAGTAAAGTTGCCAAACAGATTGAAAATATTTACAAGTAAAATGACATTAGTAATTCGAAAGTCAACTGTTTATTTTATTCTTATTCAGAGCTCGGGTTGCTAGTGGTTCAGATCGAGAGGAAAGTAATCGGCATGGTACATCGGTTCAAATCGAACATATTTACTATTTGTCGTATGAAGATGAAATCTGCAGCAAGAATGAGAGTATTATGATTGCTTTTGATGTAAAATATTGTCATGGCCAATACCAAAATCTCTATTTAAGTATGATATTTAGACCATTGAATCCATTCTAGCTGATCTGGGATCATATTTAAGCAAGCAAAAAGCAGAACGTGAGAAGATCGAACATGATCTTGTCGAATTCATGCTCACGACCGACCATCTGGGTTCGAATTTAACCAAATACAATGCTCTTTCAGTGGACTACACGATATTTCTTCAATCAGAATGTATTAATTTGCCTCGACTGAAATATTATCTTAAGAATTTGATACATACAGGCTATGAACTTGGTATCTATGGTCTCTTTTTAGCAGCCGAAGCACTTCAAAAAGTGCTGAAGTTATCTCAAGCACTCTATTTAATTACTAATTCAGACGCAAAAGAATTATTTGATAGTTCTTCACAACGAATTGATTGTCTTGTCGATGATATTCTTCGAAATTTGGTTCACATCAATCTGAATAACGATCAAAATCTCTTCAGCTCCAAAGTACTTAATTTATTTCAACGTATCAAGAAAGATGTTGACGACGATAATCTTGGCCGCTGCATTGTATTTGTTGAACGCATTTACACAGCAGCTATTTTAAGTAAAATATTGGCTTTTCTCAGCGAGAAAATGTTATTGGAGAATAAAAGTTGCCTGAAAATAAAATACCTCACTGGACCGAGAGCAAACATAGGTGACGCGATGATGTCAGCTAAATATCAGGTTTGAACAATTGGATTTATCTTTCCTAGAAAATCGAATTTCTTTCAGCGTCAAGTTATAAAAGAATTTCGTACAGGTGAAATCAATGTTCTGGTAGCTACAGCAATAGCTGAAGAAGGTCTTGATATTACAAAATGTAATCTTGTATTTCGTTTCAATAAACCGCCAAATTTCTCTTCATACATGCAATCGAAAGGACGCGCTCGTGCTAAACAAAATGCGGCGTACGTAATTCTGATTGATAAATCGAATGAAAATATATTTTCAACTGATTTGTTCACGTACCACAATTATGAAGAAATTCAAAAGGTCTTTTTTCTCCTATTTGTTCAGCTGATTTATCGAATTTGTTTTCTCAATTATATTAGATGCTGCAAGAAGAATTTTCTATCGATAATGACGACGATTTGAATACCAATGATCTAAATCAGTTAGAACCTTATCGAACAGACAATGGCGTTGTCATAAGTGCAATACGTGCTGCTCAGATTATCTACGAGTAAGTCAAATTTATTAAAAACATCTGATCTGAAATGTTTTTCTCTGAAGCTATTGTACAATTATTGGCAATGGTCGATTATGTCCACCTCGTATTCTCTATCATAAAACCGATCATGGGACATTCTCGAGTATTCTCTCTATGCCAGCAAATTGTCCGATACGTGATGATATTATTGTAAGCTGCGTCAGAGTTTTTTCGTATTACACTATATTGAGAACAAAAGGAAAGCTTTTCAACTCGAAAACACATTGAAAAATGAGGGACGATTGCATGGAGCAGATTTTTATAGCTAACCGTTGGATTTGTTCTTCTAGTTGCCTCTGCATATTTTTACTATGTCACATATCTAGCGAGAGATGTCGAATGATTATATTGCTCCATGGTCAAGATAAATCCATTGTTCTTCTAGTGTGAGAATCGGAGAAAAAAATTGGCTAAATTTGAGTGTTGTTTAAAAATGGTCAAATTACTTCATGAAAATGGTGAGTAAAGATTATTAAAAAAACATCGATACACAATGGTATGATATTAATTCTTTCAGGAGAACTGAACGATGATTGTCTCCCATGTCAAACTCGATTCTTGATGATGATAAATGATATTTCGATTGATCAACAACTTTTTAAATTATGCGACGAGTTATTCGAAACGAAAGATGATAACACCATGGAGATATTCCCCAAACAGGTTAATAGTAAATAGTAGAATTGTCTACAATAGACAATGCGAATTTATTGTAATTTTAGATAAGTTCTTTTCCATGTCAGCCGATTGTTTCGTCCGATATTTGGTATCTATATCGAATTAATATTAAAACAGAAAAAGACAAACTCGGCTTTGTTGTACCATCGAAACTAGACGAAGTAACGAATGTAACTTTCGATTATTCTAATCAAACCGTATCCATTTTTCTAGTTACCAAATTTTTGTCTCTATACTGGTAACAATGAAATGCAAACAGTAGATATAGTTTATGTGAAAACAATTGACTATAGAAATTATAGAAATCAACTTGAACATTTTGCTAAATATTTGTTTGAGAATGTCTTCAATGGTATAGTGAATAGTTTACACTCGATTATCGAGTTTAATATTGAACATTCATCATTTAAATTACTTCCATGTTTATTGAAAAGTGAGTCAGATGTGAATGAAATCGATTGTGAAAGAATGTTGTCAATATGTAATCGATTGAATAAATCTGTCGAACATCAATCGCCATTGTCCATGAGTGAACTTTATGTTGCTTGGCATTTGCCACACAAACCATTGTATACCATTATGCCTGATACTGCGCCGTCGAAGAGAACTTCAGATTTGTGGGCACACAAGATGAAATCGGAAGCAATCAAAACATATGCCGATTATTTCGAGAAAAAATTACCGAACATTTCTATTCGTCGTGATGCACTGATGGCAACAATGAAAGCTGTAAGCTATCCTCGAATAAATTACCTTAATGAAGTATCAACGGGAAAAAAGGAAAATAAAAATTCTACAAATGATTATATCCTCAGCCAACTAGTTTACTATCCAATAGAACTTCTTCATTATGCTCCAGTAAATCAAGCTGATATGAAATTGTTCTATAAGTTGCCAAGTATTCTTGTACGTCTTACTCAATTGCATTGGATTGAACAACTTCGAAGATTATTTGCTTCCGAGCTTCAAATCTATTCGGTATGAGCCTATTGGTCAAGTAGTTTCTCTCTCTCTCTCTCTCTCTCGAATGATGCTATTTGTTTTTAGTTGGCCAATGTAGAACAAATGCGAACGCCTGTTGTTTTCAGCGATTGTCTTACGAAAATCGATCATCCACCAGTTACGCCTATCTTTATTGTAAATATCAACCTACTTTTTACTGTTTTTTTAAGATCAAAACCTTTCAGCATAATATTTAAGCTATTGAAACAATTCGATCTCATGAATCTCAGCCACACTATTGATAATTGAGAAAATAAAGCATTTGAATATTTTCAGACTCGACGACCTCTGCTGCCATTGACATTACTCACATACAATTCAGCGACCATAAACAATGAGTTAACGAATGACCAACCTTCTCCGGATATTTTCTTTCAAGCAATAACACGTCGCTCCTGTAGTGAGCAGATGGACAATGAAAACTTTGAAGTTCTTGGTGATTCATTTCTCAAATTGATGGTTTCAATGTCATTGTATTATCGTTATCCGCTGGCTAGTCCTGGTTTATTAACAGCGAAAAAAATTAAGCAAATTTCAAATGAGAATCTTTATCGATTAGCCGTTCAAAAACAACTAAAAATTTATTTGAATGTTAAAAAAATTGTATTTCGAGGTAAAGATGCCAATTGGTTGCCGCCCGGATACAAGATCAATGAAACAGAATTAACAACCGGTCAACAATACTCTCATCAAAATGCAAAAAGAAAAGCTTTTAGTGATATGATAGAAGCATTTATTGGTGCTTTTCTCATCTCCACTAATTATATGACGACGATCAAATTTATGGACTGGCTTGGTCTCGATGTTATGCCGAACAATACACAAGGTAGAAAATTTGGCCATATACAGAGATTACATTCATTCTTTTATTAATCTCAGATAGCCTAGTGGAACCACCATCGATTCTCCGTTCAAATATAGCAACGAATAATAACATTCAAATCAATGAAATCATGAAAACATTTTTCGTTGATCGAGTATTCGCTGAAATCGAAACAAAAATCCAATATGTTTTCAAAAATAAAGCATATCTTATTGCAGCATTTACACATCCGTCGAATTATGCTAATCGTATCACAGATTGTTATGAACGGTAGAGATTCGGAAAAACAATTGCCTTTTCAGCCATTTATTTTGTTTATTCACAGATTAGAGTTTCTTGGCGATGCCTTGCTCGACTTTTTAGTCACGCGCCATGTATTCGTTAACTACAATCAAAATGTAACGCCTGGTCAGCAATATTTTTCTACTTATGATAACGAAAAACGAGTCTTTGCTATTCAGGGAAAGTGACAGATATTCGTCAAGATTTATCGAACAATGGTCGCCTTGCCTATATTTTGGTTGCTTGTGATCTTCACAAGAAGATTCTTCACAATTCAACTGATTTGTTTAGTCAGATTTCCTCGTATGCTGGTGATGAAGATTTATTTCCAAAAGATCAATCAACAGATGAATATCTGAGTAGGGTAAGAACGACAGCTTGATTTTAGCTTGACTTTATCCATTTAAAAAGTAATGACGTGTCTCCCAAAATCTCGAGTAAAGTATGAAGCGTTCTTGAAATATTCATATCTTACAATCTTATTGTCACATAGGTTAATGAGAAAAGAAAACATAAATATCAGTTAGGCTGCGTTCCGAGCTCGAAACTCTCGTTACTTTTTTAGGAACAGTAGATAAATCTTACATATTTAAACAAGCGAAAAAACTTCTATTTCTATTTAGGATCTTGATCAATGGGCCGATTCAACAGCTCCTAAAGCTCTAGCTGATGTATTCGAGGCACTAGTTGGTGCAATCTTTCTCGATGCTGGTAATTGTCTAGAAACTGTATGGCGCGTCGTCGAACCTTTACTACGAAAATACATTGGTATGTCTAGTTAAAAGAGAGCCGATTCCTTTACACATATTTTCTTATAATTCAGATCAATCTATCATTCATCCTAATTTGAATCCAATCAGATCGTTCTCAGAACATGGTGGCAAACTAATCAAGCATGTTTCGATTAAGGAAAGCATGTCTCTCAATAGTTCTTCATTTCTAGAGAATCGATAGACAAAGGTGGTGACACTCAAATGGCAGTCTGTATTGTTCAAATGCCAAATGGTTCTCTATTCGAAGGCCGCGGTGTGAATAAGAAATTAGCCAAAGCTAATGCATGTCGCCAAGCAATGAAACAACAGCAACACAATGAAAACATATTTCAACAAACAGGATGAAGGTTCACAAAGAAAAAAAAAGACTAGTTTTGACCGATACATAAGTTCATTCACTACAGCAATCCTATTGTCAGAACGGTCACTTGATTTCAGTGCTTTCAAGAAAATGGTTTTTAATCATGACCAATAAAAAGTTGAACAAAAATATAGCTGGAAATGATCTGTGATAAATGGCTCAATCTTGTGTCTGAAACAAATAATTCTTTTATTTCTACTTTTGACAAGCTCGATTTCATTTTCTTCTCACAGTATTAGATAGGTTCGACAAATACTACTTGAGAATAACGATGCACTGCTGATATAATTCATAATTTTTTAAATATTCGACATCCAAAATGAAAAATTATTTATATCTTGGAGGATCGAACAGTAACTATTGACTAAATAATTGATTTAGTATGTATGCGTATTCGACCATAACTCAACTTTGTAAATTTCATACGATGTTTGAAACATGGGTGAAATTTTTCTAAGAACGATCTAGTTTTAATCAAATCTGCATATTGACCAGTAAACAAAAAATTGCAATCGAATCGGTTTAGATGAGGAAGAAAAACGTTCAGAGTATTACCAAGACGTTCAAAATAAACTAATGGTTGTTCTCGTATTGATCCATTAATATTGAATTGCATCAAGCCAGGTACTATCGCTAGTATATTTTCCAGAGATCGAGATGACAAAGTACCTGTGCAGTGAAGCCTTTTCAAATTAACATGCTGAAATGACACCGGCATAGGTATTTCTATGCAACGGAGCATATGGAAATCCAAGCGAGTCAAATTTGGACATGATATAAGAATACGCTTGTAGAGGTGAGGATCGCTTACATTTTGAGCATTTATAGCACGTAGACAAAGCGAAATTACCCATGGAGAACTGATATTGATATGACTCAAGCTTAATATACGTACCCGCGGAAATCCGTTCGAAAACACGAATTGATGAAAGTGAGCAGCTGACGGCATATCATATATGTCATAAACTCTCAACTGTTCAAGATAGGCAAAATAAGTAAATGAACAAAGCTTCTGCAGTTGTACAGCAGATGGGCGAATCCATGTCAATGATCGAATATTAGAAAAACGGTAGAGATCGATCTGCTTGGCATTCTCTATCTTAAGTTTAATGACACGAGAAAATGCCAGCCAGACGGGCTCATGACTTTCATTGTTTGTGATTGTTAGATGAAGATCGGATATATTGTCAGCAATCGAACTGAATCGACGATTGAGACCATAGAACGCACGGTAGAGTTCTCGAGCAGTGAAATGCCTACAAATGTTCAATATCAATTCATTCGGAAGCATTTCCATCGTTGATACACTACCGTCACTCATCTTATATTTTATCAACAATGTAAAACGTTATCAATTGTGTTAGACAGCAGTAGAAAGATAAAGCTGAAAGTAAATATTTATTTATCTATTCTACCAGCCTCTTTTGACAAAGAAGAGCCAAAAAAACTTGAAATAATCTATTCCAATGCCATTCTCAATATTGCTGAGAAGGATGTGGATTTTGATCTATCAAAGATAACCAACGACTTGAACATCCTATTTGAAAGACTTCAATAATTGTTAGACAATTTTCTACTATCATTAATGAAACGAAAGTGTAGGGCGGTAATCAGAGTTGGTACTGACGTCTACTTCTGTCTACAATTCAAATGCAACTCTTGTTAGCTTTATGGATTTGCAAGAAAAGAGCGAAAGTGTATAGAAGTTATTTGAAAACTAAACATAAAATTCTAGTCATCATTAGCAACGAAAACACAAAGTAGAATTTAAATTATGGTTTTAAAATGTCAATAGCACATAGTTTATTTTCAACTTCTGTACAACCACGCGAAATGGAATTAACTCAAGATAGTATTTCGAAAGTTCGCTATTATAGATAGTTGAAAGCCCTGTATTCATTCGAGTTATGGCAATCGGAGTTAATTATTTAACAAAACTTTATAATGAAATGAATAACAAATGGAAAGCTGCATGTTTGTTTGAGGGTAGATTTTGTATCATTTTAATTTTGGATGGATGAATTGACTGTGTATCTACTTGCTTTTTATACAGCTAGAATATATTATGTAGATCGAATCGAACAATAGAAATCTCATTTGCTAGCGTTTAACTCTATATTTGGTGAGATAGTTTCATTATTTTTTGATCTTCATTATAAATAAACTCGTTCTATTATGAAACACGCAGACGTCGATGATAAATGTCTAAATGCTTTTTCTTCGAGTATAGTTATTTGTATACTATTCGTCCTCATATTGATAATCAAGTTGTTTTTTCTATAGGAATGTGGATGAAAAAAATCTACGTATCTCAAGATATGAGTTTACTGCTAAAATATATTTTATGGTGAAGGTGTTTTTAATGTATTTCATTTCTGAAGCCCACGTAAATCTTGGCCACACTTGGAGTTTCTGATCGAATAAATCGCGAAGCCAGTTTCGACTTTGTTAAAGTATTTTTTCAAATCTTTTCTTCTTCATAATGGTATAACTTATGTGTTTATTTGAGAGATTCAAAATAGATGATGTATCAAGGCAACTTAAAACACTAAAATATGTTGATTTGCCATAGAAAATCATCAAAATTTTCCGTAATATTGACTGAATTCAATTGATGTGTTCATTGGCAATGACATTTTCTTGATGAAAACGATTTAAAAAATGAATTAGAATGATATCAAAAGTTTTATCTGCTGGTTATAATTTCTTTTTAATGGAGTTGTGCTACCAATACCGTTTATTTAGACTAACAACTAACATTTGACTATAATGATACATAGTGTTCTCTAAAAACAAGCTTTATTGAATCAGTATTATTAATACAATTCTCCAAAGGCGGATCAAAAATATTCGACTACGATAAATACTAAATGAACATAAAATAGTTCATTGATTTTGACTAATCAGTACCTTTAAAAGTTATGATATTTGAATGAACGGGCATAAAAATGAAAAATTGAATAAACTAAAACAGCATCACATGAACCCAATTTTTGAATATATTCACGAGATAAATAACACTGAAGCATTGATGTAAAGATGGAGATCTCTTCGATAGTTACAGTCTAAAGAATACCTCCGTATAAAAAGATATAATTTCAATATTCATCAGGACAAACTCACTCATTTTGACATTATCATACTTAATCTAAACTTAATATTTTTTTCTTAAATCTTCTACAAAAATGCTTCACATTCAATTGGACAGATTACAATTAGCTGAAAGAATCCATTCAATATAGAATTTTTTCGTACGGTCAATAGACTAGTCATCAAAGAAAATACGTACTAAGATATTGAGTCTGTTTTCATTGAAAATATATCTAAGAGATTGTACGTAAACAAAAAAGTATCGGGTTTCGAATAATAACTATACGATGATCAAATACAGCTGAAAAAGGATCTTGGGAAAATCCAAGGTTCCTAATATGTACACTGGGTTTTTTAAAGAAAAAAAAAGCAGTATGTTGGAGTAGGTGAATTCTGTGCATGGTGGATTTTTTCCACGGAAAAAAAACTTAGAAGAAGTGATCTCTCTTGTGTTTAAAGGAAGCAAAAGATATTGCTAGATTACGTAGTTTTTTTACTCATTGAACTGAATGAATATTAAAATTTTACGAATCAAAAACATCTCACTTGTGATAATTTCGTAATTCTTTCGTTCATGCAATAAGGAAGCTAGTCGCAATAGCTTGAAAGAGTATATTAATATAAATTCTTGCCTAAGTTTAACTTCATTTATACCATTAAGATTGCAAGCAAAAGAGATACAAGAACACACGTGATGTTGAACAAACAAAACAGAATATCTTATCGTAACACTGTTCGAGACAGTGTCAATCAATTCAGAATTAACCTCAATTACCGACTTCTTCACGTTTTTTCAAAATTCACTGCATGCATTGATGATACTGAAAGAGAGCAAGACTTATCCAATGAATTACCACAACTGAAGTGCATGTCTCTTGAATTAGTAACAGTATTAAAGCAACGCAAAGTTATACTCAATGTTGGAGGTAAAAAATATACCACGAGTATTGAGACATTAACGCGTGAAACAGATACTTTCTTCACTGGATTCTTCTCTGGACAATGGCAACTCGCAATAGATCCTAATGATAATAGTATATTCATTGATCGGAATGGTCAAATCTTTACTCATATTCTTGAATGGTTACGTACAAGTATAGTGTCAGAAAAAATAATGCAAGACGCAACACTTTTAAAAAGTCTTATAATCGAAGCCGAATATTTTCGTTTACAAGGTCTGCTGGAAATATTAGTGAATGAATGCTTTCCGGATGGAACGTTGCTTCAATCACAACATAAGAAGATTTTGAATCAATTTTATCATAAAATATATCAACGATGGGAATTAATTTATAAAGGATCACGTGATGGATTTCATGCAGATGCATTTCATTCACGATGTGATAATGAAGGAGCAACAATAACGATTATTCAATCAGACCAAAATTATCTTTTTGGAGGTTATACATCTGTGTCATGGACTTCGAATGGTGGATACAAGACTGACCCGACTGCATTTTTATTCACATTGACGAATCCTCACAATATTCAACCGACGAAATATCCCATCAAGTCAGACAAGGAAGATGAAGCAGTTTGTCACAACAGCAGCTACGGTCCGAGATTTGGAAAAGGTACTGATATTAGTGCGGGAAATGGTGGAACTTCGAGACATTCACAATATACTAATTTTCCTACAACATATAGTGATACGACTGAAAAAGGTGATACTACATTTACTGGTGCTAAGACGTTTACACTATTGGAAATTGAAGTTTTCAAATTGGTTTAAATTATTCCTTATTTTTGTTATTCATTGTCATCTTTTATAGATAATAATGAATATTATATTATTGTTTTCTTGATTTGAAAAATCTCTCATCCGGTGATAACATGTGCCTTATTCTACCTAAAAGATAATATATATGAGATTTATTTTTAATGCTTATAATAAAAACAAGAAATTGAAAAAAAACACACGTTTTTGTTCTTTTTGGAAAATGTTCCCAGTAATCTATTGTATTGGAATAGCTGCATGAACTTTGTTTTGTCTAATATTAAGAAAGAAGAATTTTGAATTTCAATGTAATTTACTTGGGAGTGATTGAAGACAAAATCTGTAATATTGCTTATGAACAAAACTCTTTCTGGCATAAAATGATCTGTCAGAAGATATCGAAAACTTTAATTTAAGACGTCTCGTAGCTCAGTATTGTTGATTTTTTTTCATTGGTGACATTTATATCATTGTATGTTGATCATACATAGCTTCAAGAGGTGCATGCAACAAACACCATTTTCACTTGCATTTGTTCTTATCAGAATATTAATGAGTCAAATCATGCAGTAAAATTTTATGAGGAAACAATACGTGACCTGTTTTGGTATAGACTCCCTTTGATTTCTTGTAGCGCTGTGCTCGAAATAAAATTCATTACAATATCGAACGAAAAATTTCTTCATATCAACATTAAAGCTTACCTTTAAAACAGATTTTCTCTTTCTCGAATAGACGAAATGTGAGTGACAAGATTGTAGCTTATTATTATTACGACAACTGGAAAGCTGAAGAGCTATGGTACTTCAACCGCAAGACCCATCATGTGTTGGTTGAATACTATAGATTGGGTGTGGGTCTGAGTTTCACTGAAAGCAGTGTTTTTATCTAGGTTTCGTTTTTCTGGTGGACAGCTGAAATTTTTGAAGGGGCTGTTGGCTAGAAAATTTCTTATCATATAGTACTTTTATGAAATCAACTGTATATGTTCGGGTCGGCGAATCAAAATTTCGGGTGGGCACCACTCACTCTGCCCATACAGTAGATAAATCGCTGACTGAAAGTAGAATGCACACTCACTCACCATAGTTACAAACACAAAGTTAGTAAACATTTAATCTGAATTAGTTCAAAACAGAGATCCAGTTATGAAAGTAGCAGAGAAGATAAATGATTTAAGGTTATGCATCTCAAACACGATTCTTCTCTTTCTCTCTGGAGAAGCAGCGTTCAGCTACATTGAGATGAGTATATGTCAATAATATAGTGTAGAAATTTATTTGTATCACAATAATATTAAAATAAAACATGTGTTGATGTAGGTCCGAAAGAATCAGGACAAATTCAGGATTTTTCTTCGAAATAAAAAAAAACAAGACAATTCGAAAAGAATTCGAAAGCAATTCAGCTGCGAGGCCTATTTGTATCACATAAACTATCAGAGTTCCTTAAAATAATTCAACAATAACAAAAGAAAAATAATTCGTAATTTAATGATTGATTGTCTTATACAATTCATCGAAAAGTGGTTTGTATTTTTTCTCGGCTGCATATAGTCGAGCTTTGAATGTCGGTGTCAAAAGACATTTTCAATTGTAAATGGTTCTCTAATGATGGCCTCAATGATAAACGGACGACTTAGCTATCATGAAATGAAAAACAACAGATCAATCTTGGTGATGTAATCGCACGTTTCTTTTTTTAATACTCACTTTATAAATATTCTTGTGTCGATCGATGATTTACATTGTATTATTCGTTGTCCAACGGTCTACGTCACCTGTGCACAGCCAATCGGCTTCATCTTTGAGGTAGCCTTTAAATGTAGCTTTGCTACGAATGCAAAGTTCGCCTACTCCGTCTTTTGCAAAATAGTTCATTTCAGGAATATCAATCAATTTAATACGATTTACCGGAGTCGGAATTCCGGTTTCACCCGATTGAATATCATTTGGCGATTGTCAGCAGCCCATGATACACTCAGTTTGCTCATAGCACTCAATGAGTGTACAGGAGAACACCGCGCAACAAAAATCAGCTACTTCAAGAGCCAGTGGCGCACTCGACACAACGACACGTTCGATCTTATTCCCGAACATTGCACGAATCTGATTGAATAGCCATCTTGATGAAATCACTTTTAGACAAATGATCTTTTCGACTGGTCTCTGACATAACTGTATCATATAATTTGTTGAGAAGACGAGGAACCATGGTAAGTAAATTCGGTCTAAAATCATTAAATTCATTTATTAATTTATTAGCATTTCCTTGCCAAAATCCGATTTCTCCATCTTAGAATCAATCAGCAAAAAGTATGGAAAAAGTTTTATCTATTAAAAATTTGTTCTACCCATTGATGTGGCGATGACAATTGTTGAGCAACCGAACATATGAGCCAAGGGCATAAAATTGAGGATACGTAGAGCTTCATCTTTTACGTTGAATATCAATATTATATCTGCAGAAGCGCATATGAAAGATTCATGAGTAATAATGCATCCTTTAGAAAAGCGTTCTGAATAAGAAGAGAATTTTTCCACAACTGAAACCCTACCTTTTGGTTCTCCTGTGCTTCCGCTAATATACATGATCACGGCAGTGTCAGTCAGTCTGGGTGGAACAAGTTCTATTCTATGAGTTCGGCGAGCTCCATCATAGTGTCATATGTGACTAGACGAATTCTTTTTGCTTTTGCAATCTCGATCAAGTCAAACGGTGGGTCGGACAAGCTGACAATCGTTTCAAGTGAACTGTTTTCACCGTGACATTCAATTAGATTATGTACTCGCTTCAAATTGTCTGCAAAAATCAATTTGAGATTAGCATGCTTAATAATAAATTGAACGCCATTGTGACCAAGGCTATCATAGATTCCAATCGGTACAAATGAATAACACTATGAAGAGTACAGAAATAAAGCATAGTAAATTGTAGCTGAACCATATATGCCAATAAATGTTTCGTTCGATATATTCAAACCAAGATGAGCCATAGCACTTCCAATATCAAGAATCATGTTTCATACTTGCCTACATAAAAAATATTTTCTTTAGTATTGAATAAACCAAATATGAAGTCACTTTCAATAAAATAGTTCAGATACATGGAAAACAATAGTAAAATTCGGAATAAATGAGTTTCATGGGAACCCTTTTGGTGTTACGCTATTTTTGTGAATGCACAGTTTTATTTCTATTTGAGTGTGCGCAATAATGAGCATTGCAGTGAGGATAAGAAAACAACACCGATTCTGTTAGTATGGTAAACTCTGCCTAAGAGAGGAGAAAACGGAAGTGCTCACGAATACCATTCAATAGTAAATTTCGAGACTTTTCATAGAAACTCGATACGCATTGGGGATTTTTTTTTCTATTTATTATGAATGGGTTAAATCATGTAAGTTTGTCCTATTACTATTCTCTTTTGCTAGAGACTGCGTACGTGTAAGAGTAGGATTGAAATGGTGTTGTACTGCTTGTTCGATAAGCTCGTAGAGAGTTTGTGCACTAAATCCATGATGATCGTAAAGTTTCTGAGTGTACTCTGGGTGGCTGTAGATATGCTCGTCGAAATCGATTTCAACTGCTCCCGTTGAACGTACTGCTTTAGTCGTTTCGCATTTTTCCATTGTAGAATGAAAAATTCTTGTTTATCTATTAAAATTGAGTGAGTATCGCTTGTAAATCTTTATAGAAGCACTTCATTCTCATAGAGCTGCTAAGGTCTTAAGGCCAGGAAAAAAATGGCTATAACTTTCATACCTAACTGATTGAGCATCGTTTCTGGATCGTTCGATAAAATACAATGAAACATGAATAAAAATGAAATGCATATCGTCATGAAGAATCATTTGGCAGCAGTTTAAAAAGATTACACGATGATACAGAGTGCGTCGTACCGCAAATATAAATGCTAATAACGTAATCACCACTATAGAAGCTTGATGAAATATATTCACACTGCTACATACAATATATTAAGCAAAAAACTACTGCAACGGATTATCAATCCAGTCTGTCTTTGTCAAAATTAGTCGATAAAGTAGGTTGAAGGTCAGATGATTGTTATATAAAGCCGTTCGCCGTGAAGATGTATCTTTGGCAGACTGGTTCAATGAGAATCAGTTATACATCAAAGTGTTCTCCAATACCCTCTTGCCTTTATTTCAAAACCATATACAAAAAAGAGATGGCGTAGATAGATCCTGTAGAAAAATCCTTGACGGGAGAGAAAAAGTGACAAATGTACAATTGAAGTATCTCTTATAAAACAGTTGTAGTCTTAATAAGATTGTACTTTATTTACTTAACTTTCTATCAAAGAACAAAGGGGTATTTGATATAATGTGTGTTCTCATATTTCTATTTATTTACTTATCTATCTAGAGAAGGTGTTTTACATGAATTTTGGCTCAAGGAACTTTCGACCCGATCTCCAGAGTAGGTCCCGAGTAGTTTACCTTAGGTTTCAACGAAATCTATATGCATTTATCAAGTTAAGTATAAACTGATTTCAAATGTAGTAAAATTAGTAGCCTATATGGATCTGAAAAAAAGAAATTGTAGCTAAAAGTTTTGTTTTTTCACTAAAACCCAAATGGTGAACTATAGATGTGAATCTTTTCGATGAAGAAGAAAGCGGACAAACAAATAAGAAATCTACATTAATGAACTTATGCTTCATTTTTTTGACCAAAATCGACTTAATATTAGCCATAAACACGCAACATCATCTATTGGAAGCAATGTTCTAGAAAAATATTGGTTTAATCATAACTGAAGTAGAAATCATTTATTATTGGAGCAACGCATCTGCTCCTAGTTATTCGTTTCTAGCAGGTCAGAACATGAAAAAACGATTATGCTAAAATAGCGGCAGTGAATAAATATGCGAATTTATTTGTGAATATAGATTGCTAGCCCTACATATTACAGGATTCAACTTTATCTGTTGATACAACGCTATTTTCATTTGTTCGAGTCATTTCTGCAGCATATTCTTTCAATTGTTGAATAAATCCATCATTTGGTTTTATATTTGAACGTGCTGTTTTCAATAATCGATAAGCATCGTCATATTTCATGTGACGTATTCCTATTAAATAAGCTAATACAATACTAGCACTACGTGAAATACCAGCATTACAATGAATTAAAATATGTCCATGATTAGTAACTGCTTGTTGAATAAATTCATTGGCATATGTAAACACTTTTTGAATATTTGTTTCAGGTACATCTAATAATTCAATATTTAAATATTTGTATTGTTCAGGAAATGCATTCTTGATGCCAGTAGCTACATTGAGTATATGTGTAATTCTACATTCATTGAGAGCTGCTATATTAATTGCAGCATCTTGCGAACCAATATACACACCATCGATGACATGATGAAGCTTTTCGTCGGGTGAATTATCAATGACCATAAATATACTATTAGAATTGGCTAGTTGATCATGAGTTTGAAACGTTCCATCGTCAGATCTGGCCTCATGATGAATTTGGCCTATCGAATTTGTTATACGAGTAGTGGTCGGCCGAAGTTTTGACTGCGAATATGCCTGTAAGTCAGACAGGAAGGACATACGAACTTCTTTGTTTCACTGTAATAAAAAGCCGTCCTCTAAAGAATAAATTCGATAAAGTTCTATATTCTAAATCAAATATTATTAGAAATAAGCATATTTACAATAAATTAATAAAAATCGCTATATCTGGGACAACTGATTAAAACTGATGTAGGTAACTCAAAACATGAACTAACAGGGTCAATAAACTTATGCGAATACTTGATATCGATACCGAGTATACATAGAGTGAGAACTGGCATATAACAGCTGAACAATTTTTGATTATCTATAGTTATACATATTACTTTCTGCTGATTACTATCGTTAACCAACAGAAAAAGATGCATCGTCACGTGACTTTGAGAACTATGGTAGATCTCATGGTGTGTTCTACGCCTTTAAGTAATCATCCATAAAGAAATTCATTGAAAATAAAAAAAGAACCAATACGAAAGTTCACTTACCACTTCTGTCCTTATAGACTACCACATGTGCAAAAGAATATATGACAAATGGCATGATAGTAAAACATATTGTGTAAGAACATTTTCTTTTAGTGCAGAACAGTAAAATATTATTATTTTCTTACTTTCTGTTGTAGTTGTAAGCACATGTGCGATGTTGTATGTTTCTTTGAAACATGAATCACAGCATTTAGTTACATCTACATGTGTTTAACATGCTGCATAGACTTTCTTTGACTCATCGATGAGATGTATACGGACTTTGATGAAGACAAAATAAAAATTATAACATTCATGTAATGAAACTTTTGGTAACATGAAAAAACACCTGCAGAATAAATACATTCTGTTGTAAACGACATGAAAATAATGATTATTTTTCAATCCATAGGATATTTGTTACAGTTGGCATAAGAATTTAGTTGAGATTGGAATAATAGATTTAATTAGAGATAGAGAAAATAGACAAAAAAGAGAGCGAAGAAAAGAAAAGAAAAACGATTTTCGAAAGTCAAAACGCAAATAAAGTTATATGAACGATGTGGAAACTTTGTCTATGAGCTAAATTTAGCCAAGTATTTTCTAATTAATCATAATTTTAATTTCTTTTTCAAATTGCTGACCAAAACAAAAAGAAATTTTATTTCTTATTTTTCATTTATCTCAATGCGGTCTCGTGATATTAATGTTACATCATCAAATAAGTATTTATTTGTCCTAGTTTTACATTCTGAAAAATTTAATAGAATCTATTAAATTCCAGTTTTTTTATCATCATTTCTTTATTAATTCAAGTTTTTATAATCGATCTTCGTCACTATGAAACAGACAATGATCAGCTATAAACTATGAAGTTTCTTGTATATTAACTTATTTATTTGTTTAACGAAGAATCATTGTACACCAAATGAACTACTCATATAAGAAATTTCTTTATTAATTTCATTAAAAAATTAAAAAAAAACATTTACTTTCCTTCCATATCATTTGAATTAAAAACTGTTCCATCCTCATCCCAGCTGCTCAGCTGCTTGAGATCCGTACTTCGAAATAACGATAGCGAAAATGTTTTTCTTTTCTTCTAGTACAGAAAGAAAAAAATCAATGTCCCGAGCATTAAAACATGAACATCCATTCAGAATCTTTGTCGTTTTTCTCTCTTCAATCAGGAAAAATAGACACAATTAATCATGGAAACAAAAACTTTTTTTTCAAGTCTACATGCTGAATCAAATTATCTCGTATTACTCACTAACAAAATTTTATTTCGATGAATCACTTTCTCACAACATTTATAGAATAATCAATAATTCCAAGCTCAACTAGATTCTAAACTCTACTGCCACATATTCATCATGTCTTTTCTTCGTCGTATTATAGAGAAAATGATCGAATAGGTATTTGAAAATATTAGAATCTTCACTTGAAAATGTATAGATGCGGATGACGTCCTAGAAAAATATATTTCTTTTCATATAAATTTGAAATTATTCATTTTTGCAGCTAGTATATAACGTGCTGAAAAGACAATTAATGAAACGAAGGTCAACACCCTTTGTTAACATTAGTTGAATATTTCGTGTCTAAATTTCAATATTCATTTGGAGCAGTTTAATTTAACAAAGGAAAGACTTAAAAGAACCTTTAAATTATTTGAGTGAGAGTATAGCTATGTTTTACATTACCACTATATTGGGTATTCTGATGTTGCTGAAATAATCTGATAAATAAGAGCATATCAGAGTAGGTTTTGATCTCGTTCAATAATATTTTCAGTTGACTTCGTAAAGGCAGAAATTTCAATTCTAAAAACCACACGATACGTTTTCTTACGACAAGAATTGCGTCGTTTCTGATGGTTTGGATTTAACCTCTCATCTTCCAAACGTGAGAATCATTCTCTGCAAATATTAAAGAAAAGCCACTTCTCAGTTTTCTTCCACGATGAAAATTATTTTTGTGCAATGCATGATACAATCAGAAGATCAACCGAATTCTTGTCAAAAAAAACTTGAAAAATATAGAAATCGCCGAGATTTATCTCCATCAAATACATCAAGAATTAAATGAACGAAAATGAAAAAAGGAAGAAGAAACAAAGATTACACTGGTAAATTAATTGTCTACTACACATACGTCAGACGTTTTCAAACTTTCGAAAAAGACATGTCCAATTATACGATTTTATTTTCAGTCATACCATAATAGATGATCAATAGACTGCATAAAGAAAAGAAAAACTACTGAGTAGTGTTAATATAAAATAAATATGCAACTGATTGTTCCACAATGGTTCATTGCTATGTTATTGGTATACACAAAAGAAAAAAAAATGTCAGCATATGTCAAAACAGAATATCGAGTAACAGCAGCAAACTAACATTATCCTACATAAAAACAATTCACATCTAGCCAATCGCATACCATCAATTACAATGTTTCATTGTACCTAATTGTATCGGTTAATTTATAAGCTAAAACTACACAATTCTTCATACTCCTCTCGAATATCTCATCTAGTAAATATAATATATCAAGAATACGACTGATGTTTTAAATACTTTTTCTCTCGATTCTCGTAAGATTATTTATTGAAATAGACTGAAAAAGCAATATATTCTGTTTTAAGAAGTAGGAGACCCATGCCAATGAAAATGAACAAGGTGAAACTCTAAAAAAAGCTATCGCCATACGTTTATCAATTGAATATATCGGAGTATCTTTCGTACATCAGCAATCGCTCGTGAATTAATGAATATAAATATCGAACACCAACACATTGTACGACTAACATATCTATACCTACACTGCCTGCAATGAGTGCTATCATGTTGGAGCCACATAAGATTGATTTATCTTCACCTGAATTAACATTCAACACTAATAGTATTCACTCATTACTTCGTTGAAATTAAACATAATGCATTGTTTATTTGTTCTTTATGTGTTAGTAATTTTCTCGATAGCACTTCAATGATGTCTGCTTGTTTTCATAGCAATTGATTCTTTTCCCTTTATTTATCAGCTCCTTACTTCTAGTTGATGGATGATCACATAATCGATTATGACTTATCAAAATAATTCATGAGTACCAAATGCAAAACCACAATTTCAATTTTTTCTATTCATTTTATCACTTCATCGTGCCTTTTTTCTGCTATAACGTGACTACTAAACATCAAGGCTTTTTGTTCGACTCATATTTCAAATGATGCCAACTAATTCAATTTTAATCAGTCTTATATAATAGTCCTCGTCGCTAAGAGTCAATGAAGGAGTTTATGCGTAAGTATTATCATAAACAGCGATTCGGAGATTGTCACAGTAGCCAAACGTGAGATTTAATGAACCCGTCTGTTTCCTCTTAAAAGTAATTTGCAGTTCGATTCGGGTTGTTGTTGCATTGTAAGAAAACCATTTTTCATCGTTAAATTCTTCACTTTTTGCAGCTTAAAATGGCAATATTTAAGAGAAGCGTGTTTGTAACTTTACGTTTACTTACTTAATGTCCATGAATGATTTTTTATATTGTCGTTCTCGTGATTGAATTCTCTTAATAGAAATCCAGGAAAAAATTCGTCGACAGAAATCAGTCGTCGACAACGTCCATAAAACCATAGACGTTGAATTCTTTCTTCAAATTCCATCGTACGTTTAGTATCGACTTGTTGATACATGGTAGCCAGGAATTTATTCTCGCTTCCCGTGAAGTAGCGCATGCCGAGACTAGTCGGAACTTTATCCAATGAATAAGTTCTTGCTACCATCGAATTGTCAGTTTTCCAGTTAGTCGTTGAACAGCCTGATTTTGTTTTCTTCTCAGCATCACCATTGATAAGCAAGTTAGTCTTTGGCATAATCACTCCTTTGGCAAGTACCGCATTTTCAAATGAAAACATTTGTCGTAACTGTTGCTTAGTGACATTGGCACCTCGAAGTTGAGCTTCACGGAAATTAGCGCCGAGCAGAATGGCATTCAGCCAATCAGTCGAGCTCAATTTGGCAAGTTTGAAACTTGCACTACGCAAACTTGCTAATGTGAAGTTCGCTTGAATAAGATAGGGACGATCAAAATCAGCATCGTCAAGTAATGTCTGATCGAAGCGAGCGTTGTGACCTTGAATTTCACGGTATGATGTGTTGATGAGACGAGCTTGAGTGAATGTGGCATTTGCTATGACTGCCCCGGTGAAGTTCGCTACTGATGCATCGCATTTGAAAAATATAGCGTTGCCAAGGTTACTATTTTGGAAGTTGCTATGTGTAAGTGTGGCGTAAGTAAAGTTGCTGGTATTTAGTGATGTTCCAGTGAAATTTGCTCCATGGAGAATAACACCGCTTAGCGAAATGTGATCGAGTTTCCTTCCACGTAAATCAATGTTGTTCAATTCGGCACCAGATAAATCCAATGAATTTTCATTGTTTCTTAATTATTCTGCTTCGTACAGAAACTGAATAACATGCGCTTTTCGTTTGTTATCAAGTTGCCGTAGAACAGTTATTGTTTTAGCTCGAAGAACAATGGCCAAACGATAATTCTTCAAAGTAAAATTCTCGGCTAAGAGGAAATCACTCATTTCTTTTAGATAAGCAGCCAGATATGTGTCCATCTGTCTGTTTTCCGTGGCTTGAAAGTCAGCTGCTCTTCTATCCTCTTCCAGTTCACGTTCTTGTTTTAGTCGAGTTTCTTCAATTTCAATCTGATGCAACCGAGTTTGGTTAGCAATTTGAATATCTTTGTCTTGCCGTTGTTGCTCAATGTGCTCGTTATTGTCTCTATTGTCTTTGGCGATTTGTAAATCTTGTTTGCGATTTTCTTCTGCGATGATTTTTTTAATATCCGATTGCTCCTTTTGATATTCGCGCTCGAGTTTGTGGCGTTTTTCTTCTATTTCAAGCTGTTGATGTCGAGTATGATTGGCAATATCCCGATTTTCAATAGCAATTTTTAGATTTTCTTCCGCGATGAATTTTTCAAGATTCCATTGCTCCTTTTGATATTCACGCTCGCGTTCGTGACGTTTTTGTTCTATTTCAAGCTGTTGAAGCCGAGTATGATTGGCAATATCCCGATTTTCAATAGCAATTTTTAGATTTTGTTCATTGATCTGTTTAGTTGCATTCATTTGGAGCATGGTTGTTGTTATGGTGAATGCAGCAATCATCATAGGAACAAGTAACGATGAAAACCCACTCCAGAAATCCTGGAACACACTCCTGCCACAACACTGATGGTTTTTATCATTTTCTGTGATTGTGCCCTTATCCGGCATTTTTTTTTGTAAGACTGTCGAGGGACTGATTATGCAGATGCGTATATGTATGTCTTTGCTGTCGTCTGATTAACTTTGATGCAAACAAAATTGTTTAAAATGAGCAATTCTCTTTATTTTTATTGAACTATTATGCTAGATAATAAACACAATAAAGGGAGTAATATTTAAGAAGATAAAATTTCACCAAGCTCATGATACTCAAATCCAAAGTATGATATCGGCAAACATCTCGTCAGCATATAATCTTTTTCTATCATTGAATTAACATGTGCAGAATTATTTCCGTGCTGACGTCTATCATCAAACATGAAAAGAGCGACTAGACAACTGCACGTTATTTGAACTAAATTATGTCTAATGCGCTAGATGATGACGGAGGATTGTTATCACTCCAAGATCAATATTAAAAAATTCTTTTTTTTTCTATTATACGCAGCAGCATAATATTGAAAGAAGGCTGAGTATATTTATCCACCGTGGCCATGCGTGTACGTGTAAATGCAAGTGGAGCGAAAGATTACCTGATAGGTCATTAACTACCATTTTTGAAATATATATTCCGATTGAAATCATAATTGAATTACAATTTCGACTTTAGTCGATTGCAAAAGTTTTCAAATTCTGTCATCATAGATTTTAAACATAATTGATGTACTCTAGCAACGATCATATATTTTCATATGACTTCTTTGAATTATTTCACATCGGTATATCTACAGGCTTACCTCACTCCCAAGATACTTGGTTTTTGATAAAAGAAGCTTAAAAACAGAGACTTTCTCTAAATCATTTGATGTTTGCGGTCCAACATTTTTTTACTACATAATTCTATTAGTATTTTGTCTTGCTTTAATGTAAATTTGATTATGTAAAGTTCTCGGTCGTGGTGATTATAATTTTCAAATGCAGCTTGATTTGATGATTAATGTTGAACAATTTTTAAATTCAGTTTGTAGCCCATATGCTTTTTGCCATACATATAGACTTCACCTACAACATTTTTCATAATATTCAGCGAGAAGATACATACCATTTTATTCCACGAAATCATTTACGTATTTGTCAATCAGATCCTAATCGTGCTGTGTTCACTGAATATTGAAGATCAGTCAAAATATGATAGTCGGCCATCAATTCCTAGCAGCAGTACTCTGTAGGATCAAATATATGATAATAAATATTGTACCAGGTTCGTCATTGAATAACACTCACTTCAATAATTCGGTCGCATTGTCGTTCTTTTAGAATATAAGGCTTAACAAATGTATTCAAGACATTATCTATCCAATATGGATTGTCTAATAATCGCTTATTTTCGCATGGTTTTTCAGCAATAAACACCTGCTTGACTGCACAACTGATAATACGTTGATCTTCTTCACTTTTTTACTTCTTGTAGTAAATCTCTGACTGTTTTATCGCATAAAGTGACTTGAAAGAAAATATATAAAACTTGAGAAACACGCTTAAGTTCTGTTCTTGACTAAATTTGATTTACACCCAGCATTACATCCCCCACTATTCGGACATTTTGTATGACAATCAGAATATCGATCCGAATTGCTGATACATATAGTACCGTTCTAACATCCTGTCGGATTGTTTATTACAGTCCGCCTTTAGTATACTATACTATTCGTGGATTTGAATGTAGAAAAAATTGATACAATGATAGATAAAGTAGACACGAACCTATTGATTTTAGAATGTGGTCACCATTGAATAGTTAGCACGTGATAGGTAGTCGATGCATATTATAGAGCCGCATGCATTTATTTAAAAGCCATTTTGGTATGCTAAGAAATTTCTTTTACTCGTAAGTTGCTTTCGGTTTTTTCAATTTGGTCATCTTTTTATTCGATCTATTTTTAATCTATCAATAAATATATTTAGATTGAATTTCAACATGTTTATATGTTGCAGTTGTGAGATTTTTTACGGTGCGGATGAGTGTGAACATTACCAGATAATTCCAGTGCGAGTCAGAACACGGATCTTCTTCGAGTTACATCATACTCAGGAAAATTGTCTGGATCCGAAGGAGAAAGGAAAGAAAAATGAAAATTATGCTTGTTTATGATGGGTTGGCTGTAGCTTTACTACTTATTTCTAATTGATTATTTAACTATTGAGATAGCCTTGAAGATATACTCATCACATAAACTGTAAAAAAATAAGAGTAGAATAATAAGCACTTATGGTTTTATTATGCTGCATTTACTTTTTACAGTGCCCTACGCATTATTCTCAAACCGTCGATCCAAAACTTGCATTCCACCCATACTTAACAATTACTCTATTGATTCATTCACAATCTCAATTTCAATTTTTAACTGAAAAAATAACTGTACAAGTAAATTTTTGTTCGACATTTAGCAATATATATGGCTTTTTGAAAATATTGATTTCATATATATATAGTTATGTTACTTGTAGTCAGCTAGTAAAATAGAAAAATATTCCACGAGACAATGTGGTCGACTATTAAACAGATAACGATCTATGTAAGTGTGTAACCAACAAGATAAGACATGTGTGAGTTGTTATTCAACATATTTCAAACTGGTGAGAATACTTTGTTGAAGTTTTGATATACAATATACTGACGGTATACTAAGAAGTTCTACAGGTGTATTGTTTGATGGATTGATTTTTATTCTACGTTTTTAGATAATTGTATAAATAACAACAACATACACGTAAATCTGATGTAAAACGAATGGTTCGGTTCGGTATTGATATATTATTGGAACAACAACCTTCGTGGAAATTAACAAATATCGGACTTGTTACAAATAATGCTGCTACGACTTCTAATGGTATACTTTCACGTAAAGCACTTCTAGATGCAGGTTTCAATATCAAAAGGTTATTCTCCCCGGAACATGGACTCGATGTAAATGGTGCCGATGGAGATGCCATCAAAGATGTATCTGATACTGTAACTGGTTTACCAGTAACCAGTTTATATGGAGAAAAACTAGTTCCTTCACAATCAGATCTGATGCATATTGACATTCTACTTTTTGACATACCTGATGTTGGTAGTCGATTTTATACTTATTTGTGGACGATGACCTATGTAATGGAAGCGGCTGCACAATATAGTAAAATATTGATAATATTAGATAGGCCTAATCCGATTTCAGGTAATCTTCAACTAGCAGAAGGCCCAATGCTTGATATGACTACTACATCGTTTCTTGGTCGGTGGCCATTACCTATACGACATAGTTGCACATTGGGTGAACTAGCAATTTATTTCAATACTACACAAAATATAAAAGTATCCTTGGAAATAGTACCATGTTCAGGATGGAACCGGAATATGTTTCAACCAGATTGGCTTTTACCTTTTGTACCTACCTCTCCTGCTATGCAGAGCTTTGAAAGTATGTTATTATACCCGGGAATTTGTTTGTTGGAAGCAACCAATGTGAATGAAGGGCGAGGAACTTCTCTTCCTTTTTGTACTCTTGGTGCACCTTGGATTGATGGAAAAGCTCTGGCCACCGCTTTCAATCAATCGCGACATACTGGTGTCAAGGCAACAAGCACGAGTTATATCCCTAGAGAAGGAAACTATAAACATGAAACTTGTCATGGTATCAAATTAGAGATTTCAGCACCGAAGGAGATTCGTTCTGTCATAAATGGTCTGCTAATTATACAATTGATTCGTACAATGTATCCAGATCATTTTAGTTGGAGACCCTATCCTACCAATGTCAATCCTTCAGGTGCCTTTCACTTGGATAGATTATTGGGCATTAGTAATAGCGAATCATTGTTTGATCTACCTTTTCTTGCTTTCATCGATAAAATTAAACAAATGACCCACATCCATGATTGGAAACAGCAGATTAGTAATTATTTGATTTACTAGGTCATACTGTGTGGGTGTGGGTGTCTAGAGCATCAACGTTGGCACGCACACCCACATCCCGTGCACTACATTAGTCATTGAAATAAAATAATCAAAGCTTAAGATGAATGAGAAAAAATTTTGATTGGATTTTCGCAATGTTTTGAGTATTTTTTTATGCAAGACAAGTATGGTTTCTGTCGAACGATTTGTTTTCTATATTTTATTCATCGCATTGTTTTCAAATGTATTTTTTTCGCTTCGTGCTGACTCCTTGTTTTTCGTTGATATTTTGCAATTCTTTCGAAATACACACTATAGGAGAGAGGGCTATATATAGCAACAGAAAAAAAAACTCGAATCGAAGCGCAATAAATAATTTATTAAAGAAACAAAAAGCACACTGTCAGATATTCGCTTCCTAGGAAACCAGAACCATTGGAAGTGGATAAAAACACCTAAGTTCAAATGAAGCTGGATATATCCGCTCAGTTAGACAAGGCACATAAGGCATATCGATATCATCACTACATGCTTGCTACTTCATTTGAGTCATCTTTTATTGCAATATATTTCAATGCAAGTTCACTGGAAGTGTAAATGGCGATATAGTTGAGTTAAGTCGAGACAATCGCAGAACTGCATATTTTTATTTTATCATCTAAACCCACATCCATACTGGTCGAGATAAGCTACATACAATTTCTACATACACTGGCAACAGTGTCAAGATAATTCATGTTGTTGATAGCGCTCGTGTATTTACGAATTGTATGTAGCCTATCTCAGTCAGTCATCCATACTTTAATTAAATTCAATGGATACCATGTAATGTTTTTCTTCGCCTCTATTTGCTTAGAGACGGACAAGTTATTTTATAAAGAGAGTGTATATTTCTTTGGGTTTTCCCCCACTGTTATAGATGTATAAATATGGATTGAAAATATGTTGATAAGAGCAAAAATAATCGTAGTTACTATTTACGATATTCGATTTTGAACATCATGTTGGGTGAGCATTTGAATAGTGAAGAATCACGTGGCCTTTTATTGGCTATTGACAAGATGCGCGAAATCTTACATGGAGAAAAAATTACACTTCCAGAAATTGTAGTTGTTGGTGATCAATCTGTGGGGAAATCATCTGTATTGGAAGCTATATCTGGTATTCAATTGCCTCGTGCGCAAAATATTTGTACTCGGTGTCCACTTGAATTAAGAATGAAAACAGCTCACGATAAGGAATATGCAACAATACGTAGTGGTGTTAGTTGCACAACTGATAAGCTTATTGATGATTTGTCAAAGATTGCCGATGAAGTTACTCGATTAACATCAGAAATTGCTGGCAAAGGAGCTAATGTCAGCCCGGATCCTATTTATTTGACTGTGTTCAAACGCGATATTCTATACGACTTAACTCTTATCGATCTTCCCGGTATCACACGAAATCCATTACCAGGCCAAGCAGAAAATATTCATGAACAGATTCTGCAGTTAATCAACAAATACATTGAACCACCCACTGCAGTAAGTACTTCTATCATTTCTTACTTTCTCCAGTGGCGTCACCACTGGGGAGGCATTGGAGTACATTGTCTCTCTATGACTTTTTATCCCTTATAAATGTTTTACCAGAATAAGGCACACCATGGTACTTATCAGCTCGAAGCCACTTTTTATCTGTTGCCTTAGGAAATATTTGACACAAATATGATCGATAAGATCAATTGTCTATTTTTATCGGCATCGGTCATAAGCTCCACTTCCAGACTAGCTCTATTAGTTCATCAGTAATAAACAGTAAAACATTTTACTGGTATTCATTGACTACTTTATCAATTCGGATTACCTGAAATACTTGATGAGAGTAGATTGGCACTTTTTATGAGGACAAATCACTAACTATTCGTCTATGCTAGATGCTCGAAGACTATTCTCATCGAATTCGATCTTAATGCTCATCAAAGTTTCTAATCATAATGAATTGTCGCCCGATTTGTATTACATGTAAAACTGTTATTTCCCACTAGGGTATCTTATTTCATCCTAAATATACTTGTCCATCTTAACTCTGAAAAACCTGTGGAAACAGTGCTTTACTACATACTAGTTTGCGCAAGGCAACAATTTGCCTTGTGGTAAAACAACTGAATCCTTTACGATGAAAATAAAATGAAAGTATTGCTCTAAGTTGTTTGCTTTTAGAGATTTTATTTTGTAGTCTTTTTCCTTAGATCATCAGATCTCTCTGATAGGCATTCATTAGATGTCAATTTGGTGATTGGTCGATTCCCTGCAAGAATATTTGCTACAGATTATACTGTGCGCTGTAATTATTTCGCAAGAAATTAAGATAGTACTCTTTACTTTTCTCAAAATCAGCTGTGCATAAGATTGATTTTCTGTAAAAAGCGAACTTGAAGTCGAAAAAGAATCATTTTTGGGACTAATCATAGTGACTGTGGCCTGAGCTATTGAGGTATGTATATCAAGCGATTGAATAAAAAGAAAATTGAATTGATGTCTGCTGTGAAATTTCTTCAACTAAGCACGATATTATTTTGTGCACTTTTTGTCAATATTGATTATATACCTTATATATTCAGATTGTTTTACACGTCATACCAGCTTCAGTCGATTTTACCACGTCGGAATCCATGAAACTTGCCAAGGTATTCGATCCAACATGTCAACGGCAGCTGATTGCCGCTTCCAAAATTGACAAATATGATAAGGGCATTGCAGAAAAATTACAGGGCCGTGGTTTAGGCTCCATGGAACTTCAATTAGGCTGCGTTGCTGTTCTCAATCGAAATCAACACGAAATCGATGATAATGTTTCATTCGATGACATGAAACAACGCGAGAAGGAATTTTTTAGACATCATAAAGACGCATTTCAGCACCTTCCCGAAGAGTTTAAAGGTAGCGAACAATTGGTTCGACGTCTTGCTACCATTCAACAAGAACGTATCCGTTCTACATTTCCAGATATCATCAAGGAATTAAGAAAACAACTTACCGAGAAAAAAGCTCAACTGAAGAAGATTCCGCTTTCTATGAATACAGAACACGAATGCTGGACAAGTTTTCAATCGATGATCAACGCCTATCGAGAAAGTATTCACGATAAAGTCAAAGGCGAATACGGTCAAGTTTCGTCGATTGAAATCACCAGTTTACCTACCACATGTACAGATTTGGAAGATGAATCCAGCATTGATATCGATCCAGATATTGCAACAGATGAGCCGGAAGAAGAGTTAGAAATAACTGGCGAGTCCAAAAAAGACCACATTGCCTACCATATTTACCAATTGCAGCGCACATTTCAAAAGGAATGTCAAAATAGTTTTACGAATTTTTTTTCACGCCAATACTATAAAATTATTCTTCGTGAAATTGATCAAACAGCTGGTGTTTCTCTGCCAAATTTTCCTAGCTATCAAATTGTTGTAGGACTCTTTCGAAATGAACTGAACAAGCTGCCGGGTTGTTGCGACAAGTTGGTTGCCGAGATACATCAGTATATGTCGGAATGTTTACTACGATTATTTGAGCATGCATTCATTAATGATTTTCCTCGTCTTAAAGAACGACTGAAAGAAGTTATAATCAAGCAGTTAAATGAAGTTAAAGATACTTTATTGGAACGTGTCCAAGAAATACTCGGAACGGAACACCATGTATTTACACTCAATCATTATTATATGGACACCGTAAATAAGCTGAAAGAAAAGGTGAAAGACAAAAGTAATGACCAAAAAGGATCAAGCTCAGCAAAATCTTGGGCATCAACAGTCGTTACGAATTCAACTGAGGCAGTTACATATGCCCCTATGTCAAATGAAGCTCAAGCAGCCGTAGGAATTCAAATTGCTTTACATGCTTATTCAAAGGTAAAATTTTTCACTTGATTGATAACGAAAATCTAAGCTCGGCTGATACACTATGCTCACTAAGGTTCATAGAGGAGTCTACTTTGCATTTCAGACGATGCCCCCGCTATAATATTTAACTTCATAGAACCAAATTCTTGAAAAAAAAGATTCTAAAAACTATTAATGCTCTTTCCACTTATAGGTGGTGCAAAAGCGTTTAACTGACAACATCGCACAAACATGTTATTATCATTTTATTACACAGTGTGCACTAAAAATCGATCAACTCTTGAGCGCATCAATACCTTCATCGCAACTCCTGCAGTATATGCGTGAACCACACAGGCAAACTACTCTGCGCAACAAGCTGACATGTAGTATTCAAGCCTGTGAACACGCTTTACAACTTGGCCTAGAACATATGTAACGCTTCTCTTAATTATTTATTGCTGAATAAAAATAGCTATAACCTAGAGTGGAAATCATAAATAAGTCAATTTAATTGATCAAGAGAAGTGAATATTTAGACTAATATGTCGTAGAAAACTAAAGTCATGTATTGCTGAGGAGACCACCGAATGCTAGTGCAACATTTCATACCAATACTTAGCAAAATTTGCAAAAGACCAATGATTAACTAGGCAAAAACTGTTGTGAAAACGTATGAAGTATTCTATGGTCTATCAAGAACGAATCACAATATTTGAATTTAAATCGACAGCGAGCGACAAGAAAAATTGATAATCATCATCACCATTAGTCTTTTTTTAGATTTTCGCTAGTTTAATTCGTCGACAAAAGCTCTACCGGAATTATGAGCACTCCTATTGAACAGAATGACAGAAGAAGAAGGAGACGAGGGTACACTGTAAAAAAAACTATGAGTAGGGTAAAAAAAATTCTATAAAAGTTTCTGAAAGTGTAAAGGGTGTTTATCATCCTACTCTTAGTTTTCCACAGAATATTGAAATTCGTTGATAAGCCATGAAAAAGTAACTTTATCATTGATATTCTATTACATTCGATTGAAATACAAAATATTTTACATTGATGACTACCTTGAGACTGTATTCATTTATTATTTTTGTAGCTGAATAAAATCAAAAATCTTAATTCGGTAGGAATTCACTTATAGTAAATCGATAAGAAATAAAACAGCATTGCTTCAATCGTTCTCAATCTCAATTAAATGCATTAATATGAAAAAACTAGATAGATGATAGTTTTATTTTCAATGAAAAAAACACAAAAAAGTATTGTTCTGTCAGCAATGATAACTAGGACTGGATTGAAAAAAATAAAAAAGAATAGGTACGTAATCAATGGCAGCCTATGGTAGGTGGTTGATAAAGAACGAAATGATTATCATAGTGGCTTTTTTTCTGCCTAATCATAATTCAATATTGATGACGTTCTTAAAATGCACTGCTAAAAACAGAACATCAGAATCACATGATAAATACGAATAAAATATTCAAATATTTATAGCAACGTAAACTAGAAAAATCTTATTACATTTCAGAAATTCAAATACAATAATGAGTAACATATTTTTATGTTTGATGTTATTTGTTACCTGGCATTTTCAAATTGAATGCATTCAACCGTATTTTCCTCCACAAATAACATTTACAACAGAAGACGCTGTTGGCCGTTATATTTTCGCAGTCGACGAAATCAATCAACGAGCTTACCAATGGCATCTCATCGATTCAGATGACCAGCTATATTCTTATGCAATGCAACATTTTCCATACGCAATACCTGATTCTCCGGAATCGAAAAATTACGTTCAACTCAACGTATACGATCCAGTCTATTGCGTTTATACAGCCATTTGGAAGCATGGCAGTGGCATGCATGATTCATTTCCGGAACATTGGTATTATAATTCAAGTTCCTTTAAAATTGGAAACGTGATGGAATTTAGTTCAAAAATGATACATGCAACAAATATTTCTATCGATGAAGATTATTGGTATTCGGAAGAAAATTGTTCTCTTCAACAAACAGGAGAGATATATCCATGTGAAGAAATATTCTTTAAGAAAAATACAGATATACCTGTTAGACACACTTATTTTGAAGGCACTGGATGGTATGCTTTACGAGTGATAGTAAATTATAAGATAATATCTGTGGGAAAACCAAGTGATAAGTTATTTGCGAAAATTCCAGAGAATTGGATGAATAATTGTACAGATCTTAATCTTGGCCTCGATTTTATACTTCCGAGCCCAATAATCGAAGTCAATGAAAGTGCAACAGTTAAAATTCGCTTGACTTCGCCACCACATCGATTAGATGGAAACGATACAATGACCCTTCGATGGCGAGTAGATGAAACAAGTTCTGAATGTCAAAATTGCTTAAGATGGGAACCTAAACAGTTTAATTTTAATATTAAAAATTTTGATCGCTATCAAACAATGATCGTTAGTCGAGTTAAAGATGGATCTGAAACAACGATTAGTCCCATTATGAAGGGTGGTGGATATGATAAAACTCGATCTGATGTTTATCGTCTTCTTTTTAGATAGATATGTTATATTTTCGTATCTATTATAGAAACTAATAATTATATTTTATTTTCATGGGAGTAACGTAAGCTGGATCAAGTAAAAGAATGCAAATTTACTAAGCGTGTTTTTGTACTTTTCGTAAAAGTGAATTTTTACATGTTACTAACAGAAAGAGTTTTATTTGCTTCTGATATTATGTTTTTTTTTGTGAGATTAGAAGAGAATTGATCAATATCAATTTTATATCGAATTCAAGTAACTACAGCAACTAAACATTAAAGTACGACATTATCAAACGAAAGCATATACAAATAGATTTGTCAGTGTTCATCTTCTTTTAATTTTTCAGGAAGAAAATTAATATCACTAATTCCATTAGGCATTGCTAAGCCAAATTTGTAGTTCGAAGTCATCATGCAGATATTTAAAATTTTGTTTCTTCATCTTGAGATCATTGATGATTTCTCTACTGCAAGTTCCTTTATCTTCCGAAATGATTCCCGTTGGCCATTGGAATCTGATACTCCAAAGATGTTTTAGATTATCCAGAATAGTTTTCATGTCCTCTGGATCACTAGCTGAAATACTTAGATGTTTAACATGATGTGGAATCACTGAACAAAGTTTTTCCCATTTGAATCTATCATACAGACACTTGTATCGAAATACGACTAGAGCAGAAACATTAACTGCTTGTTTGAATAATTTCCCTACATGAACTATTGAATCTGAGATGGAATCGAGTTTTCTATCGTAGTAAAGTTCAAGTGCTGTAACACGTGACATATCAATCAAGCTTGAAACAAATTCTATTCCATCCGATGGCCAATTATCGTGAAATTTCAAATGAAGAATAGTCACATTGGGATAGAACGATTGGCCTGTGATGTTCTTCTACATAAAAAGAGAACACATGGAATGAACGATTCTTTATGCTAAACATTGCAGAAGAGTAGCTTCCTATGTTATGATCTGTCGAAAATCATTAAAATTATTGCAGTTTGAAAGAAGCTCTTTTTATTGGTACTCAAAAGTATGTGCAAATGACTAATACGTTTGTTAGACTCTTACTAGTTTAAAATATTCTGTGAAACATACCTCTCTTGAATTGAAATACTGCATTTTTGTTGGTTCAAAATGTAATTTACCCACCGTATTCATCATTTCTGCATTGCTATTTATCTCATCGAAATTAGACCGCGAATTGCCACCGATGTATAACGTATAAGGATGAGCCATCGTTCGCATAGATGCTGAATAGAATAAACAATTGTCGGGAAGTCTTGGTTCACAAGTGAAAAACCAACGTTTGTCTTCGGTCCAAAAAGGCGTTTGAAATGAAGCCATTAGAGCATCCACGGCGAATGGTTGTTCATCAATAGAGCATCGGATAAATATGTGGAAACGACTTAGCAAATTGAAATTATTGTGAAGAAAAGTTTCTAATTGAGTGCTTTCTAATAGGAAAGTATCGAAAGATTGGGTACCTATGATTTTCAGAGTTACCAAAGAGGGTGTCCACGATAAAATTTGTTTAAGAGCAGTGATCGAACTTTTCTGCTCTAGCAATGCTAGAGAACTTAATGGATGGGAAATATGGAAGAGAAGCGTCTTCTTTCTGTTTATAAAAATAAAATTCAAAGTGAGTGTTCTTAGACGTGGAGAACGCTGCAGAATCATGTAATACTGTTTTTGAGTACAATTTCCAATAGTAAGATGTTGAAGTGTAAGATTCATTGGCCATAGGAGACAATCTATTTGATACTTTGGAAGGTTTGTTTTGAATGTCTTTAAATTGGATTTAGCAATTGCCGATGCAAGAAGTGTAAGTGATGGACCATGATAATCGTCGTCAGGTGAATCCGGGCGACCAAAGAGAGAGGCACGTCGAAAATGAATTGAAAAAGATTCTACTGAGCGACAACCATGAACATATTTTAATATCGTGTGAAAAATGTCATCTGCACTTTGATGTATAGACAACGAACGAAGTCGAGTGAATTTACGAATATTGATAAGTGATAAAAAAAACTCGATTCCTTGCGGTGTACTTGGTCCGTCCGACAAGTTGAGAGATAGAACCGATTCTGGTCGAACGAGACGACAAACGTGCCACATTTGAACCATAGAAATGTTTTCAAAGTCGAGAGCATATCGATCATATTTTTCACTCACATCTCGTAATCGTCGGCAGACGTATTGTAATGATAATAAAATTGTCTGAGCATCAAGATAATCGAAAATCCGATACAGAACTTCGATAGGTAATCCCACAAGATCTCCTGAAATTGGCTCAGTAGCTACTAGTTGCTGATTATGCTTGTTAATCAACAATGGTTTATTTACTTTGCGAGCAACTGAACGATTTTGTAGTAATATTTTTTTACCAACTGCTTGCATGTTTGATATAACAGAAATTTTCTCTTCGGAAGCTATTTGTTATTCATGATACAGTTACATACGCTGCTTCGGTAAAGAAATTTGTTATGTCAATACACTTTATATTGCAGATAAGAACAACGTTGATATGACTTTATCAACACCGTAAATCTAGAATAAAATTGCTCCTCGTTTCTATACGCAAATTCTGCATAAAATAAGATTTTATCATTGCATCGGAACTCATATTTGAAAATTTTATTGAAATCATATGTTTTTATTCACATATTTCAGTTTGTATCAATAAACAGAAGAGAAGTTATTACATTTCAACATAACTTGTGGGCGTGGGTGTGGATGTTCAATCTCTACCACACCCTCAAATATATATATATATCTGCTCTTGTGGTTCTTTATTTCTTTTGAAGATCAGAATGACAGCAGTCAGAGAAAAAAACACAATTGAATTTAACGAAATTTTCACCAATCCTGAGTCACAAAGTGAGTCAGATGCAGAAACTGAAAGCGAACCGGACACTGATGAACATAGTGAATAAGATACAGAAACTGTACATGAATCTGAGACTAGCGAATATAGTGACCTAATATCGAGAGCTCTGCGGAAGTTTTCGACGATGAAGATGTTCCATCATCTCGTAGTTCAATGTGCACTTGAAGATTGTGAAAAAATCAAATTTCAAGTCAAAACTATTTCAGTCTCAAAACTATGGTTGTGGAATCACTTGTGGCTTAAATGGAGAGTCACCGTTAGACTTTTTTAAGTTATTTTTTGATCAAAAATTGATTCACATTATTGTTGACAAGACAAACAAATTGTAAGTAAACTCATCTGATAAACGTACATCTTCATCAACACATCAAGCAAAATGGATTCCAACTGATTTTGAAGAAATGTATCTTTTTCAGACGACCTTCATATTAATGGCGTATATGGAAAAGTTCAGAATTAAAGATTACTGGTCAACAGATTCCTTGATAGCCACGCCGATTTTTGGTGATATCATGCCTAGAGATAGATTCTTACTACTTTTGAAATTTCTGCATTTTAATGATAATACATATCAATATGAAGGAGACAGATCATACAAGATAGAGCGTGGATGCGGAGGTTTCGATCTTCTCTTCACACTCACAACCCACACCCGACAGACGGTCACCATTGGCAATACTGTCAAGCACAAGCAGCTGTTGTCATGGGAACAACTGCAACTCGACATCGTCGGTGAGAAAAGAATGACTGTGGCCATAATTCTGGCAAAACTCCCAAACAAATAAATGGTAAAAATAAAACGACATAAGTAGTTAAATAAAACAAATACGGTTCAATAGTACTACCAAAATTACTCATATTTGGTTGACTTTGTAAAAAAACAATCAATGCTTGAGGAAGATTTATCGACAATGACAGAGCGGAAATTGAAAGTAGCTGAATGATCATTTTTCGATATTTTTTCCACTGAAAATGTCTTGTTGACATAAATCTTCTCCATATTGCTCGGAGAAGTAATGCAATACTAAAAAGTGCTTCCAAAATATTGCATAAAACTCCATTAACAAAATAATCCCATGTATTTAACCATGTTATATCTTGATAACATGGATATGAACCACATTCAAATTCATTAGAATAAAATATATTTTGACACGGTGGAAAGAAAATTACACCAATATAAAATCCAATTAGATACAACGAAATAATTATTAAAGGAAGATAATGTATGAAGAATATTTTACGTTTTGTATTAAGTAATTGTCGTCGATAGAATACGAGAATATGTCTTTCGAATGAAGCCCACGTAAGATATATGGTTATTGCACCGTAAAATCCATAATCAATAAACCACCATAAAAGACATACTTCTATTGAAAATGGAAATGAATTTCCATGATCTATGCGAAATCCATCAAGATAAAATGAATTGTCAACAACTAGAATAATCAAACATAGAAAAAGTAGAATCATTATAACATGATTTTGTAATTGACTACGCAAACGTTGATTAAATGTTAAATAATAAAGAAGATATAGATTACAAAATAGTGATGGAATCTCAAACACAAGATATGTCCAAAATTGCACTTTCGCTGACGGAATAATCACTTCTTCATCATCGTAATCATATGAATAAGTACTATTTTCAGTTTCATTGTCAGCCATGATCAATAGAACGACACGTTTCGTATATATTGCAATAAAATTTATATGAAGAACAACACTTTCTTCTTATTGGTCAAAATAAGTGATTGATGAGTACGGTTTCACATGAAAGAATTCTCTAGAATTAAAAGGGGAAGCGTACAAAAAATGAATGAAATCTATTTGCGTATACTTAAACAAATGAATGCCTTTTGTAATATAGTCATGCTGCCAAATATAATCGAGAATTTGATGCCTACAGCAGACAAAAAAGAGATTCTTTTTTTCTCTATACTTAATCTAACGCTCTTAATAAAAAAGTTGATTATAATTAAGAGTTTGTTATCAAGCTTTGTAAAAAAAGCTAAGTCGAAAGCTTTCTAGAACAACGTGTAATTGCTTTTTCTAATCAGTAGAGGATTTTTATAATAATATATTTATTGAAGTTGATGAGCTTCAGACATTGATTCATCTAGAAATATTGCCCATATGGTCCACAGTAAAAAAATTTAAGTAAAAAAAAAACAAAAATCACAGAGAACTAAGTTTTGTTGATTTCCGATATCGATCTGGTTGGGGTCGTAATTCTACTCAAATCGGATCTAGTCTCATCTTAAAAGAAACTATTTCAAAATTTACTCGCATGAAATCTAAAAACAAAGTGTTGAATACTCGACTTGTGACTAAATTAATCATCTCACTAATGTCAAGTGTCTGTGTCCTTGAACACAAGTAACGCTCGTTGATGGAACTCGCTTAACCCTCGACTGAATAGTTAAGACTATTTGTATGCAGTTTCATTTTGTGGAGCCCCTATGACTGAATGGTTGTGGGTATGGGCGTGGGGATGCAGATGAACAACGTCTACACCGACGCCCACATCGTGGATCACGCCGTCTTCTGGCTGAGGACAAGTAGATAGAAAGAATTTGTTTTTTGTGTTGTTGTATCGATAAACATCTGTGAAACGAAATGTTCATCAGTACGACTGTATCAATCCACGTTTCATATACGATAAAATATATATGTATCAGGACTCCTAATGGGATGGGATGAGACGAAATTTTCGTCCCGTGGGATTCGCTATATTACGAAAATCTTACTGAAAATCAAGGTTTATTTTTTTTGTAACTGGAAATTCGAAGTTTTCCAGCATTCCGATTTGAATATTGGAATTAGGGATGCACCAATTCCTAGTACGTTGAAAGAAAGATGACATTTCTGCCTGATGTAGAGTGGAGCGGCCCTCTGATTCCATATATCAGCCAAGATCATTTTTTTTTGCTCTATGTAAAACGATAACCGAGATTTATGAAAGATTAAAAAACGTTTTCGGATTTGACTCAGAATTTGAATTTTCAAGTCGTTTTCGGTCAAATCCAATTCAGTTTCAGACTTGCAGTTTGCATTACACAAATTCTAAGAATAGATTTGAAAAGAACGTTCAAAACTGAACAGAAAAAAAATAAGTAAAAGGAGGCCTAATCCATAACTCCCAATGCTGAGATCATGTAAACATTAAATAAAAAATTAAAGAAATTGACGGGATTGGATCTTTTCCTACTTAAAAATGACGTGCCCGGTAGTGAGAATTATTGATTGAACATCTCTTTCTTCATATTTTTCTGTTCAGTTTTGAACGCTTTTTCAAATTTATTCTTAGAATTTGTGTAATGCAAATTGAAAGTTTGAAACTAGGTTGGATTTGGCAGAATTTGACGGAAAACGACTTGAAAATTGGAATTGGGAGTCAAATCCAAAAACGCTTTTTCATCTTTAATAAGTTTGGATCATAGTTTTTCATAGATCGAAANGAGGAATCGATGTCGGATCCTCAGTGTCGGATTCCTATGAATTCCAAGGAAAAACCGTTGTATGTCATCGGAAGTTCATAGGATTCCGATACTGAGGATCCGACATCGATTCCTCAACCCGGAATCCAAAGAATTGTATCGGATTGTAGATACTTCCAGGTTCCTATCGGATCCGGTGTCGGATCAGCCGACCTGGGTGTGTTATACAAAAAAAAAATAGACTTCATTATTCTTAATCAATAACAATCAAATTATTTATCATAGAATAGATATTGTCCATAACTGTGATGTTTTCTTCAAACTATAAAAAATAACAGGTTCATTAGAACATAAATCCAAATAGCATGTTTTTTTTTCACCCAAAAAGAAAAACGAACAATATAAAAAAAACTTAATCTTCAAGTTTAAAGTCTGTTAACATTTGTTTCAACATTGCTGGTGTTACTGTTTGACCGTTATCAGCTAAATCCGAAATTTGATCTACAAAATCCTCTCAGGTGGACCAACTTGTGTCGTACACGGCCGTTTGGTATGCACCGTATTACGGTCGTTTTGCATCGTGCCATAAACGATCGTATACGGTCGGATACTGAAATATCCGACCACAACACGGTCGTTAGTAACAGTTTACGGCACGCCGAAATACGGCCGTAAAACGGTAGTATACGTTGCCGTATGCGGCCGTTTACGGTCGTATCAGGTCGTCGTAATGTTCGATCTGGGCTTGTATATGTTGATCAATTTCTTCATCATCCTACGATAAAAAAGAAAAAACATTATAAGTTATTTATAAAAATAAGCAAATTTTTCATTCGAGTTCAAGTATGAAAACGATTCAAGTATTTACATCATCATATTTTATTAACCTTTCGATATGCTAACATTCGTAAATTATCAGTTATTGTATTCTAAATCTGAAAGAAAGTGTTTGTCTGTTATTATTCTAGTACACTCTCTCACAACATTTTTGGTTTCCTTTTAAATTAACTTTGTTTACGATATAAACTACGGCTATCGAACAAATTCTCGAGAGATTACATTGCGCTGGAGAGAATTCAAGTATTCAAACGAAAAAACATTGATTTTGTAATTAAATATGAAGTTCAAAAACAACACTAAATTCGATAAATCTTTCTTGAAAGTTATAAAATAATAAAACGTTTTATTATCTTATTGCTTCCCTTATTTTTCTCTCGTCCAAATGAACAATAGTACTCAGAATTTATATATAACGTTTCTTCTTTTTCGTGTAACTTCACTTTATTTTGACTGACGAAGTTAACATTAGTTGACGAAACGTCTCAATAATAAAAATGATATATTCGGTTTTCTATTCTTTATTATTTCTTGTTAAATGTATTTACCGAATTAAAATAAACAACAATTATTCAACTAAGATACTTATCTTATATATCTCTCATTTATGGTACTGACAAAAAAAAATAAGAGTCACTATGAATAAGTAAATCGATGTATTACTGAGAAAATTTTTTGACACGGAGTCAACTTCTGTCTGGATAAAAGTCAATAGCTAACAAATATATTCAAACGAAAGTTGAATATAAAAAAAATAAACTAGTTAAAACTTTTGATTATCCAGTAATAAGGAAATACTATATTTCTACTGAGCTGTGGAAAAGTATATCGGAGAAAAATCTCACAAATTAAAAAAACACTCATAATTGGAAAGTTTGCAAACTTTTTAGAAGAATTGGTAATATTTACATGTTTATCGAATTTTTCTGCCATATTGATTGTATGTTTATATGATCGTTGAGAATGAGTACATGATATATATATATATTCTGTTCGGGATAACGCGAACAGCGGACCGCATTATATCAAGTTTTTTTCCTTTTCTTTCTTAAAGGCCAAACAGACTGAAAAAAAAAATGAATTAACTTAAAGTTGAATTAAGCAACGTGATTGGTCTATTCCAGACGATTTATTCGTTAATTTAGTTTTAGTTCGTCTGATTTTTTTCAGTCTGTTTGGGGACTAGCATACATTTTGGCCGAGGTCAAATAAAACGAAAAAAAATTAAAAGAAAAATGTCTAATTCTTTTATCATAAAGAATAATGTGAGAGAGAAGCCATTCGATATCTTAATGGTATGTGAAAAAGTAAAGATCAGTTCGCATGTTTTTGGAACCGAACCCAACAATTTTTCATATTGAACCAAATGAAATTTTATACTACAAGATATATCAAAGATATGGTGAAGATATACAATTTTGTTTATAAGTGGCTTTTGGAACAGACTGTACTTTATAATTTTATTCACAAAAAGTCAAACTTACAGGAAACTCATCATCATTAGGTTGTTTTTCTTCGTTCAATAAAAAATCGACGATAACCATAAAATTTTCTAGAATCACTTCATGCGTACCTATACGATATTCATATGTATACTTAAAATAATATTGATATTAGCCTACTATCTTTATCAGCTTCCTGCGCTAATTGATGTAATCTACTAGGAGATTCGTCAGGAAAGCTCTTTTCCAACATTTCATCTATAGAAGAAAAATGATATGAATATTTCTTTAATATCACGATTGTATACATACAAGCCATTTTTTTTGTAACTTTTTCTCCTTCTTTAACCCCGTTGAACTGACGTTGAGCAGCATTACGTATTTGTTGTTTTGTTAAAAGTTCTACCATGTCTAACTATGGTACATACTAGTTAACGAAATGATGACTGCAATAATATATATGTAATATATATAAGGTTGACCATTACACGCCTTACATACTATAATAGATAAAAGAGAACGAAAACAAAAAATCAAATTTGTATAAAAACATCATGCACCTTTCTGCAGAATAGAGAAAGAAAAAGAAGATATCTCGTATACCACAGTGGCGGATCCAGAAAATCGAGCAGGGTTTGGCGGTTTTCCGATGGGAGTGGCGATTATCGTTAAAAAAATACGTTTCAACGTCTATCCGCAGCAGTAAAACCCTTTTTTTCTTTGTTTTTATTATGAAAAACTGCGAAAAAAATTCCGCAAGAGGGCGGTGGTTGCCCGTTCGCCGAATTGTTGGATTCCCCAGTGGTATAATATTCGATTATGGAGAAATTAATTTAGAAAAATTTTTTCTTCTATTTTCAAAGTTAAAAGGAATAATGTTTTTAAATTCTCATTAAATCTATAAGAAGATGACAAAGAAAAAAATCTAGATTATTTCTTCTTAAACTTAATGTACTTGTTGATGTATGCTATTACAATGAAAGTATAAGATAAACTATGAAACAATCTTACATAGATAATTATCTCTCGGTATAAATAGTACAAGAATTTCTGAAAAATAAGTATATTTTATGTTTTCTTATAGAATGAAAATCAATTCTGCTCGTTTTATATAATATCAATCGATCGCCTATCTCATAATCGAACTTTTACTTAAATAATTAATAATATTTTTAAAATGATAAGTGAAATTAGAGTTTTATCCTTTTATCTTTTTCGTATAAGTTTAGGTTTATTTATCAATGATCATTAATTATAAACGTAGAAAAAAATTCTACCGTTTATTTTATTATCATTTGTCTACTTTTCAATCTGAGACATTAGCATCAGCAGAGAGATGCCAATTTTATTTATTATATTCGTTTCTACCACTTAGAAAATAAATGCTAAAGAACTTACTCATTATCAATCATTTCATTGACTATAGTATCTATCAGAGACCATCATCAGGTCAGGGCAGTCCTGGTGTCTTGTCCTGCTTGCCCTACAGAGCGACCATAACAGGGCGCAGGACAAATTATGTCATAATTCTCAAATCATGTACTTTTTCGAGAAAATTTCCAATTTTTTGTACAGCTACCTGAAACTTCGTCGTAAGCTAACCAGGTTTCTATTTGATGAACTAAATGTATTAGCGACCATTTTTGCCATTTATTACCGATTATCATTTGTCTTTATTTTTTTCCAATTAATATAGTCATCGTTATTCATTGTATATCTATTAAAATTGACTGATTGATTCTATATTTTTTTATTGAGTATAATATTACAGTATCTTGTAACATGTCTTTTTTAAATGATTTAAATTAAGTATCAATAGTGAAAAGAAGAACGATCTTTGAAGTATCCTCAGGTTATATACTCAGCTTTTCTGATATAGAATAATATGCGATGCAAAGATCTTTAGAAAAATGTCCGACCGTACTAGACCATATTACCAACTCCTGAACTAATCAAACTGGCTTGTTGGAAAGAGCGATGGCTGAACTATGAATTTTATAGCAGGCATAATTTTTCAATACGAATCTGAGAAATAGAAAAAGTCAAAAACGAAGCATCGTTAGAAATGTTCCTGTAACACCTTTTCAACTTGAAAAATTCTGTATTTCTTAATTACTTTGACTTATATTGGTCAAAATCGAATAAGTAATCAACCAAAATGTAGCGCCACGAAAACTCAATTGATAAATTGGCTTTGAGTGTTTTCTTGATCAATTCTTACCTCTTTAATTGAAGTTTGAAACAGAACATTTTTAGAAAATTGAGCCATTCGCAATAACCATCAGTTTAAAAAAATATTAGCCAATATCTTCAGAAAGCATGCATGAACTAGACTGTTTTTTGCATTCTTTGGGTCTAATTATATTGAGGCATGGAAGTTCAAGAGGAAAAGGTAATTAAAGAAGTAATTTTTATCGCAATAAAAAGGTCAAGTAGCAAGAACAACCAAAAATACTTAGCCTCGTCGAGAAATATTAATTTATCGATAAAAAGATCGAGGATAATTTTCGTTCCAACACACCAATAGAAAAAGAACTAATTTTGGTACAAAAATTGTCATTAAGCATGCTCTCTCCCTTCTTGTGTAATATAAAAAACACCTAATAGAAAAAAAGAAATGACACTACTCCATGGTAAAATTGCAAGAATTTTTAGAGATGTTTGATTTTGGCTTTTTTGCTTTCTCCGACTCGTGTTGGAGAAATAAATCCGGTACAATATTTGTTGTTCAGACATCGCTTTTTTCTAAAGATTGTTGAATCACTTATTAAATCAGAAACTCTTCAAGGCGATTTGCCCTGCCCTGTCCTGTCCTAAGGACAGGCCAGAACAATGTAAATCAGGGCGACAGGAAAGGTCACGGCATAAAAAGTGCCCTATGACGGTCTCTAGTCGTGGCTTACGCAGAATGACTCTTAAAATAGTTTTTTTTTCATTTAGTCCGCCTGATAGTGTGAAACGAAACTGTACTTGAATAGATTTCTCTGTAAAACATTCGAAGAATATAACAGAATCACTAGGTATTGGATCGATTTGTTTACAAAAAAAAAACTTACTAAAAAAACAGTTGAATACAGGAAGTATAGGACGAATCCGAAGCCAGCTGATAGGGATTTAGATATTAAACTTGATTTAATTAGCAATCCTGATAGAAAATAAAAGATCTAAGCATGTTATCACTCGTTAACTGACTGCAGATATAATAGATTGTATGTTAGATTCAAAATAATTCGAATATATAGTAGGATCTGAATGAATTCATAGTACACTGATTGTGGTGAGCTTAGAGAAAGCTATCGGAGCTCATGAAATAATTTATTGGTTTGAGATTTAGCACAAATAGAATGAGTAATGCGCCCATGTTATAATGATGAAGAGAGACAGAATGAAGAGTATAATGTATACTCTGAGATATTCTTCGTTCGCTGAGTAAAAATAACGTTAAGTTTTCATACCAAACTACATTTTTCGTTGAAATGCTGCATAGTATTGCTATTATAATAAGAGAACAATGCATTTATCAATCAACATCAAATTTAAAGAAATTTCATTCATTAAGCATCAGAAATCAATATCATCAAACAGTATACATCACCAGAGATCGAAATTGGCCCAAGGCTTTTCAAATCTTCTATTCGATTTTAAGAGTTTTTTAGTAGTTATAGTTAACTGTGTGTATGTGAAGATCACTTCATCCACACTCATGCATAGCAGGTTCCTTCGAATATGTGCATGTAGGTGTTGTTGTGTAAGAATAAAGCTACTAATGAGACATAATCAAGTCTTTAACAATCCTTTTATAAATATGATAGTCTTGCTAGAAAAAAAAAGATGACATCATATTACTGTATTTTATCAACTATTTTTCTGACGAAGATATAGCATGAATAATGATCAACATGAGTTATGCAAATAATTTCTTGTTTGTCAATGATCCATACGTAATCAGAAGAAAAGAGTGATGGTAGGCGTTGATAAGGATGCCCAAAAAGAAAAGAATAAATAGCAGACGCTGGCAAACTATTTATTTATCTATATAATCATCGTTTTTTGTTCTTTGTAGATTGCTTCGGTAAGAAATTAAATGGTAGCGCACAGATACAGGTTCGTTTTCATAAACATGAGCTTCCGAACTATTGAAAATAGATATTAAATTGCATGCGCAAATAAGTTTTAGTCGTCGAGGTTCCTTCTATATAAAACATATCATCGATTTATTTAGATCTTTTATTAATGAACGAATGTTCAAAAGAATTCTCGTAGATAAATGAATTTGTTTATATTTCAGACGAGTCGAATTAAAAATTTGCCATGGGAGAGCAGATACCACTGCGACTAAATTCTGCGAAGACATGCAGAATATGCTTTGATACTGATAACCCTAATGATTTTATTAGTCCATGTTTATGCAAAGGTGGATCAGCATACGTTCATAGAAAATGTTTAGATGATTGGCGATCGGTTAATAAAAATGGTAGAGCTTTCAATTATTGCGATGTTTGCCAATTTGAATATGTTATTGAACCAGTGGTAGATGATCCATCGTCTGATAAACACAGATTGCTTGTGTTTCGTTTATTAGTTACTCGTGATATAACCTTGATTGTTTTATTATTTCAATTAATCATTGTTGGCATGACATTTTTGTTACAGGCTGCCGATAAGAAATCGAATACAATTAAAGATTTATATCCAAATTCTATGAGTTCATTTGGTATCTATTATCTGAGCAGCTTAATATTATTCTTCGCTTTCTTAGGACTCCTTGGTTTGATTGGTTTCTGTTGTGGATGGATGAACGATAATCACAACACAAATAGAAGAAGTGATACTTGTCCAAATTGCGCTTGTTATCCTTATAATTGTATATGCCTGGATTGCCATGGTTGTGATGGAGATAATAACTGTAGTGGAGGTGGAGGCGATGGAGGCGGCGCTGCTATAGTAGTGATAGCCATTATATTGATATTTGCTGCTATTGGAATAGTTGTTGGAGTGATTTTAACTGCAATGCTTGTAAGCAAGATAATGAAACGTCATACAAATAAATTGTGGTTAAGGCAAGAAGCTAAAAAATATGTTGTAACCGATTTTCAAGGAAGAATGCACGAATTGGAGAGCATGCCAGCTCAGCGTCGTATCGAAGTATCAACTATACATGTACAAAAATAACAGTGGTGAAATGACCATTTACAATTTCTTTCAAACTATAATAGTGGATATTATTTTAAATATGATGAGGAAATCGTAACTCAGATGTCTTATGAAGTAGAGCGTTAATTATTAAAAAAATGTTTAATGATTTCATGTTTAATGCGTGCATTCCTGTAGCTAACTGAATAAATATCTTCATTAACATACATTGTGTAGGAGCCTTAAGAGTGATTTGAAAACCTTCGTATTATGTCATATAATTCACTGGAGCGTATATTTATAATGTAGAATTTTACTTTTGTTCTACTCATAGTTAGATCCAATATTTGAAGAAAACAAAAAGAACCCAGTTTACTCCATGTTCCCTGTTACAAGTCAGAAAACTTTACATTCTGATATACAAGCCGATGAGAATAAATTGGCATCATATCATTTCTAAGACGAATTCATTGATCTATTGCTTAAGAGGATATTTTCGAAGTCGGTTCAATCAAAAACATAATTTCAAAAAAAATTGGGATCGTAGAAAACACGACTAAATAATATTTTCCAGATTTTGTTGGTTTCATCATTAGCGTCATTTGTAAAATAAATAATCGAATATGAAAACCATGGTACAATATCGGATCAGGCATGCACAAATCATTTTAGTGTCTTCGAATATCCTCGGACAAGAGCGCTCTAAGCAAATCAAAATATATTCATGTGGTGAATTCTGTAAAAAAAAGTGAGAAATAAGCGAATTCGTTTCAACAGCCAGTATATCATCCATGTTTTCATTTCGACGATAAAAAGCAAGCCATTAGCTAGGAAATAGCTTTACAATTTGTAATAGATTTCTATTTAGTTTTCTAGGTCAGCAATCCACATATTCTAATTAATTAAATGACTGCAACAGTTACGTACAGTTCAAGTTCAAGGAAACAATTAAAAAACGACTAAAATTCTGATAGTGAGTTAGCCATTATGCATTCAAAAGCGTAATAATATTTTTTTGTATTGCCATTCATTCCACTATCTAATTCAATAGCAACTATTCAATTTAAATAAGTATAGCCATTTTTTAGTTAGATATATCTCAATAATAAAATATATAACGGTAAGAATTTTATCTTAATAAAAAGATTCCGTTCCTTACGCTCATCAAAAGTGAGGAGGAGGAAGGAAATTCGGAGTAAATAAGACACCGTGCGACTTTGCTATTATAGACCTGATTTATGTTCATCAAGAAAAATAGGCTAAATTTTATGATGCGCACAGTTGATATCTAAAAATCATGGAATAGTCGAAGCGATTGACGAGAACATTTAGCTTTTGGTTGTGTTTTTCACTAACAGATGTTTACTGTAAGAAAAAATGCGTTTGTCACGTATGACATTAATATGAGAAGAGAAAATGAATTTTCAATTACAAAAATGATTCAAATCGAGAAAAAACAATTGATCCTATTATATCTGTATATATAAGTATACAATAGAATTCAAACGAGAGAATAAATGAAAGACGAGCTAATCGTCAAATAAATAAATAAATTCGTTGAGAATCTTTACGGAGGTACGATTTTAGTGCTAAGAGTTAATATTACATATTAGATAGATAGATAGATTAAAGCTTAGAAAGTAAGCATTAGAATGTCTCATATGTAAAGCAAGAGAAGACCCACGCCGATAATTTAAAGATATTCCTATTCCTGTAATGGAGCTGTCGATTATTTGGTTATTACATTCTTCATTACAAATTATTAGTTTTTGTAAAACATATTCTATTTGAGATTCACCTCAGCTAATCTTTCAGGCTGTGATCGCAATTTTTTCTCATAACAAAAAGCACCTGTACGAGAAATCTAACAATTACGGTCGTGCAAAAATTTTGTCAATTATAGAAAAAATGATCCCCAGCATTGGTTTTAGTGTAAAAATAAAGAAATATACAGTTGTATGAGCTAATAGATTGCACTCTATAATATTTTCCCAGACAATAGAATTGAATTAGCGTGAGTCTCTTCTATAAGAGAGGCTGACCCCCATGCTTCGTTGGCTTTGCTACTACTTAGAATTCTGAATATGGCTTTATATTACAGCGCAAAGAATAACATCTAATGATCTCATTGATACATTCTCATTGTGGCAAGTAGAAATATTTATTTTTACTCTATTCGAGATTAATGATAATGACGCATTCGTGTTCTTTCTGATGAATGCAGATAAATAATAAGGAGGTTTAAAAAAAAATTGTCATGGACAATTCGACATTAAATTAGCTCACTTGAACGCGCCGCTTTTATTTTACTATATTATTGCATCAAAGTTAATAACTAAGTATACATCGCTACAACGCTCGCAAACAAATTATATCCAAACATCACCTTATTGCCAGTCTAAAATTCGTGTATTACTTTTCTGAAATTATAATGACTTATCTTTCCATCACCGATAATCTCACCAGCGAAGTCGATGATATTGACTCTTCGTCAGATATAATATTGTATACATCAGCGCCACCTATCGCTTGCTTTTGGATAATGCTTAGTATTTAATACCAGCTATAGTGTGTTCTTTTTATCTTCTCTACAAGTTTTTCTTCGATTTAACACTGCAACAATCACTAAACAATCACGTTATTATTGATCTTCTTGTCGTTGGACAGCTCTCGTTACTTTTTGACATTCCTCAATATTTGAACTTTATTCGTCTTGGTTATGTTTGGCCTCAAAAACCTAGCCTGTGGTATTTTTGGTGTTTTGTGGATTTAGCTTGCTTCAATATACTTGGTTTTCTCATGACTTCGGCTTCAATCGAACGACATATTCTTATTTTTCATAATTCCTGGGTAAATACTGAGAAAAAACGTTTTCTCATTCATTATTTACCGCTAATAGCAATCATTTTATATGGACTTGGTTTTTATGCTATTGTTATTTTCTTTCCATCGTGCGAGAATACATTTAATTACACACAAAGTTGGTGTGCTTATCCATGTTATTATGGCCAGAAAAATATCATGCTGTTTGATACTTTATGCAATTGTCTTTTGCCAATTCCTCTCATTGCTATCGTCAATACCTTATTAGTTGTTCGTATCGTAAAACAGAAGAAAAAGTCTTCATGCGCATATCCCATGGAGAAAATATCGAAAAATGATTTTACAAGTAATATTTATCCCAGCCTTTTTTTCTTGTATTTAGCCTTCCTATGGTTTCATTTATCATTGCACATTTATGCGGGGTGGCATATGAAGCTACTGGATGCGTGGAACTCTTTTGTTATTATATATCATATTTCATTAATATTTTGATACCTTTCGTATGCCTTGGATCGTCGCCCAAGGTTGTGTTTAAAATGAAACGAAAACTTAAACTTAGAAATAAAAGAGTCACCCCAATTCATGCTGCATTACGTCCAATAATAATGAACTAATGCGTAATTGAATGATCATCGAACGTACGTTTGCATACGTACGCAGCGTCATCATAGGATCCAAAGTATTATCGTCGTTGACAAACCTTTTTCTATTCTTTAAGCACAACAATAAAAATTCTGAACGATACTTGATGTATTTATAATTTGAATTATATGAACTATGTCTATGACTATGTATGCCTATTGTTTATTTGTACGCTCACATCATGATGAAGAAAATATGAGCAATTTTAACTGTTTATTTTTGAGAATATATGTGAAAAAAAGAACAGGCTCATATTCACACATTCATCCTTCTCTTGGTGTTATCAGATATATACAAGCTTACGGATCCTTTTGTTTGCGGTTCATCGCCGTTGATATATATGTATCTGAATGTATTGCTTATATCATAAGCCGTAGCCTCCACATGTTTAAAAATACCAACTTTTAAAACTGAAAACTCGTTTCTTCAGATTTTTTCATTGGTTATTGACGACAAAAACTGAAGAAAACAGTTATCTTATAGTCTCTGAACAGCTCTAACGGTCAATAATAATTGGAAAATGATCACGTTGATCCTTGTGGCATGTTCAAAAAATTTTCCCTTTCAATCTGAAGTTACGTTGCTACTTGAGAAAGAGGCATGATTAAGTCCAAATAGCATCTTTTATGTGCGACTATTTTTCATTCTAATTGGAAATGAATGTTGTATCAAATCTAGCGAAAAAAATGACATTTGACTTCAACGAATTATGAGTTACTCGGTGAGGCATAGCGCACACTTCAGAGTAATCCAAAACATTTTTACTTCAATTTCTTTGTCCGCAGAAGTGGCTGAAAATGATAGATTCTGTTGTTTTTAAATTGTCATGAAAGTTCCTAGTTTTGTACGTGTCGAAGGTTCTACTTGAAACATTTTCGCTTAAGTTTCAATAGAAAATCTTGTGGTGCAGGTCTTGCAGATAATTGCATGGTGGATCTTTGGGAAACAGCGCATTTCAGAGACTGAAAATTGAAAAAGACATCACCAAAATACTGAGAGGTTCATTCAACTTCGGTCACCCGATAGTAACAGTTTATTTTTAATTTCAGGTTAAAATAAGAGTATTAATAACCAATATGATATACTTCTGAATTGATCTAGTGGGAGATGTATACCTATGCATTATTATTATACGGTTCAGTACAATCGTTTCTGAAAAACAATTTCGACTTTTTATGTTGTAACTAGACGTAAGTAAAAAAATTGTAGAATGATCAATACACCAACACGCAATACGGATACATATAAATAAATCACATAGCATACGCAGCATTTTGAACACGCAAATAGATTGAGAAAAAATTTTCTTTTCAATTAAAAAATAGGGTACCGACTAAAAGCCTGGAACAAAAAACAACGAATATGCATGATGACTCATTTGTTTTTCATCTTCCTTGATAGCCAAGCAGTTCCTTGTTAAAAAATGATTATCCATTCATATCAACGTTTAATTGATGTGGATTAAAATTATGAGCAAACTTTTGTATTTCGTACCCTGTTTGAATTTGTTTTATTTTTTCAAAAGCCGTATTAGTATATGCGACAGTGGTAAGCACAAGTTGTGCAATTACATTCGATTAGAATTGAAAAATACTGAGAGGAAATCTTCATCTTTCCAGGCTTTCGTTTTGAATGAGACATGATAATTCGAAATTCAAATGTCAAGAAAGTTATATTTTGCTCCTATGACATTACTAATTATTTTCAATAAGATACACATTAGTATCATAAAACCTTTCTTATCAGATAGAATCTGCCAAAACTGGAAAAGATCTACAGTCTATCATATTATTGAGTCCTTCCTATCAAGTTTTAATTGTTTTGCTACTTTTCGACCTTCTGCAGATCAAATTATATATTTTTTTAATCTTAATGGGTAACGATGTTAAAACAGTTCGAAGTGTTCGGTTCTCAAGAAAATTCGATGATAATCTATTTCTTTCAGATCAGAACATTTTCTTCGACAAACAAATTTGATTTCTAAAAACGTCTTGCTTACTTATGACTAAACTATAAATGCAGACAACTCTAAATAAAATTCTGACGGACAAAATTGTCACGTGTACTCCGTAAACATGATCGTTTTTCTTCCTACCATTTACATGACATAGATACATAAGGAAGATAGGCGAATTTTCCTTTTTCCTCTCAAGACACGTGCTTCACAATTTGGCTTTTTCCGTCTGAATGAATCATCTTGTATGCTATGATTCAAATGTGAATTTTCTTCCTAAATCAAACAAATCGTAACTACTTTCGATCGCTCGAAATGGAAAAAGTTTCAACTTTCGAAATATTACCCGATGAAATGATACTACATGTATGCCAGTATCTTCGTGATGGCGAAATTCTCTATTCATTTTTCAATCTTAATTCTCGCCTTAATTCGACAATAATGGACTTCTGTCATCATGTCAATCTCACGAATCTTACCTATAAACAGTTCAAGTTTGTTGCGCTGCAAATCCTTCCTCAAATTGGTGGATCAATAAGATCGTTCGTTTTTAATGGGCTATGGCAAAGTATTATGTTCAGCAGGGAACCTACGATGTTTTCACGTGTAAAATTATCTCTTTTATTTCCACAATTGCATACACTGATACTGATGAACTTTGTCGGCGGACAATTAAATTTATTTCTTGACAAAATTACAGATTTTTTCCACCTTGGTAAACTCGATATTAGAAGTGCGCAAGTTGACAATTCATATGACTCATTAAAAGCAATTCTCGGTGCTAACAATAATCGACTGAAATCCGTGTTGTTTGATAATAATTCACTTGAATTTTTGCTGACTTCAACTAACGACGAGGAAGCTGTCTCCTATCCAAATATCGAAGAGTTAACAGTGAGCTTGAAAACAGATAAAACCTTAGGATCTTTATTCATACTGGTACCAAATATTACTCGTTTACATGTGGACGTCGATGAACTATCATCAGCATCAAAGAGAACATTAGAAAATATACCATCTCTTCTTCAGCTAAAAGATTTCCAGTTGCGTTCGTTAGATATGCAGTGGTCATTAGATGAAATTGCTTATGTCTTGAGTAAGATGCCATTTTTACAGCGATTAGTATTGGATATTTCTACAGAAGATAAACATGTTGTTCATGGAGAAAAATTCATTCAAGTTCTTCCTTCATCACTTGTCGAGATTCATTTATTCATTTTGTATTACTTACTTACATTTGATCAGGAAATAGAGACTATATTTTCGGCATGGCCTTCTTATATTCGAATAGTCCGTTTATCACATGAATCGAATCGATATGGAATAATTCACACAGTCCCTTGTGATATATTTTCGATATTGATTCCTGCTTATGCAGCTAGTAATATGATGGTTGGCTCGAAATATACACGAAAGGTTCACTACTTAAAAATTTGCGGTGAACAATGTTTAGACGATATCCATCTAATATTGCAGCATTTTCATCAACTGCGAACACTCACCATTGGCTCTGCATACAATTCACATGCAAGTAGGTTGTTCGTTGGTATAAAATTATTTTCTTTCGAATATTTAGATGAGGAGAGCGTCATACATTCTGATAACTTTTCCGAGAAAAATAGTAGAATCCACTTAGAATATACTTTTCTTCCAAATTTTCTTTTCTGAATAGAAAATGTTTGCCAACTTCCGGTATCGATTATAACGCATGTACTTTACGATCTTCTCTACTCGTTGATTAAACATGAGATTTGAATCACTAATTACTATATTTCAAGAATAGAAATACCGGTAACAGTCTTGAACGTCCTTGCAAAAATGCCCTTTACAAAATGTCCCCGGGAGTTGGTCCCCAGAAAAAAAGTCGTTTAGAAAAAATGTCCTCGGAAAATGGTCCTGTCAGTAAAATGTTCATACAAACGACCATTTCGAAAGCACATCCTTCAAGAAGGAGATTCCAGCATGTATTCGAAATAGCAATCTTTAGTTCAGACATGATTTTATTAAGCTATTCAGATAGTAAATGAGGGTACTCTATAACTAGACTGAAATTAATGAAAACACAGGATGTACACCGTGAACTAAACTTATTTTCCCAGCTCTCATCATTATGAAACAAACATATTTTAAACTTTAATTATGGAATAAAGATCTCTCTTGAACAGTCTTTTCGAATTAAGTTCAGGTTAGATTTCTAGTATATCAATAGAGTGTCTGCCACAGTATTGCTTTAGTGAAATCGTTGGATTGACTTGAACTTCTCTAGATAGAGCTCAAAAATTACCCGAAAGCAATTATTTTCGTGTCTTAAATGATTCTGACTTATTTTTCTTTTGCCATCTTATCGAAAGTTCAAATATATTATATTCAGTTGGTATTAGCAGTGTTCCTAATCAAGATATCGACTGCTTGATAATCATACTACAATACATTTCAAAAAAAAGTTGAAGATGTAAGAATCGCTTATTTCCTATCATCCAAAAGCTGAAGAATTTAAAACCTCGAATTGTAAAATGAATAGGGAATCGCATCTGGTAAATAGGGTGTTTTAACAATTATAGTACAACAAGAGGATGAGAATCTTAAAACTGCGCTTCCATTGTTCAGAATTTTCTTGTATGACAATAAAATGTGGAAAATACCTTCTTAAAAATAGAACCATTAACAAAGTCCACTTTAGAATTTATCCTTGTCTTCATGAGAGAAATATTTTAGTTTCTCAAACAAAATAATTGTTTCAAAGAGAACATAGTGCTTGACGTTTTCATAAGACTGCCTCAAACATTTCTAAACGATAGAAGAAGTACACATAAAAAATGATTAATCATCTGAGCATTCGTTTTCGAAAATATTTTCTCAATAAATGAAAAAAACCAGTTGTCTGTGGTAAATGCAATAGGGAGAACTTGAATCGAAAGTTGTTAACGATCTGCTTTCAATTTTGAAATCAGTTCGATAACCGAGCAACAATAGTTTGAGAGATGAAACATTTTACCATATAGTGATGTCCGGCAAGGTTCGGATTGTATTTATGAAGAATCTTTTTATACTTTCATCTCTTCCCTGCAATAATTTCGTATTTCACAAAACTAAAGTAAACAGATTGAATTCTTTCTCTTATATAATTATCTCGGTAACCCTACTAAAGAGATTTCGTCGTTGCATGTGTTTTTTCTTTCAATTTTTTCTCCGCCAAACTTGATATTCCATTGCGATGTTCATTTCCTTCCAAGAGATTTTCTATCGAGTGAACAATCTATGTTACATCTCCACTGCTGATTGGTTATTATTGCTCTGTCATATATAGTACCGCCT